ACTTGGCTTTTCTAGAATTTCATGTAAGTGAAATCATACAATCCATGTTCAACATCAGGAAAACCAGTCTTGTGTGGAGGATGTGAAACAGGTCATAAGCAAAGAGAATGGCAAGGAAAATAGTGAGGTTCACCAGCCTGAGTACCCACCTACTTTGGCTTCATTCTAACAGTCCCTAAGAAAAATAATTTATGTGCCACTTACATTTCTCTAAAAATTTAGAAATACTAAGTTTTATTTTAGAAAAAATTAAAAGCAAATACATAACTACTAAAATTTAAAATGTGTACTTAGGTACCATCTATGATCTCATTTAGGAAAACACTGAATGAGAAGGTCTTGGTATTGTTTAATACTTCTAAAGCCTTATTCTCAGTCATTGTTTTGGGTTACTGAATCTTAAGCAAGTGGCCATCAGCAAAATTTATAAATAATGATGACACTTGATACTGTAGCAACCTAACATGTGTGCACTTACCTTATTATTTTCACTTTTTAAAGATGTATTTATTCATTTATTTATTTGAAAAGCAGAGTGATAGACCAAGAGATCCTCCATCCACTGGCTCACTCCCTAATGGTTGCAATGGCTAGAGCTGTGCTGATCCAAAGCCAGCAGCCAGGAGCCAGGAGCCAGGAGCCAGGAGCTTCTTCCACGTCTCCCATGTGGGTGCAGGGGCCCAAGTACTGCTTTCCCAGCTGCATTAGTAGGGAGCTGGATGAGAGGCTTGGATACTGTCACAGATGGGGGCTTAATGCACCGCTCCACAACACCAGCATTTATTATTTTCAAGTTTTGATTATTTATTTTTATTTAAAAGGCAGATCCACACAGAAAGAGAAAGAAGTATCTTCCATCTGCTAGTTCATTCCCCACATGCCCCCAATGGCCAAGGCAGGGCCAGGCAGGGACCCAAGAATTGGAGCCATCGCCTGCTGCCTCCCCAGGGTCCACATTAGCAGGAAGTTGGATTAGAAGCGTAAGAGGGACTCAATCTTAGTCAATCTGATATGGAATGCAGGGGCCCAAAGTGGCAGCTTGACCAGCTATATCACAATGCCCTCCCCTATTTTTTTTTCCTAAACATTCATTTATTTATTTGAGAGGCAGAGTTAGAGAGGGAGAGACAAAGAGAGGTATTCCATCCGTTGGTTCACTCCCCAAATGGCCGCAACAGCTGGAGCTGGGCCAATCTGGAGCCAGCAGCCAGGAGCTTCCTCTGGGTCTCCCATATGGGGGCAGGAGTCCAAGTACTTGGGCCATCTTCCACTGTTTTCCCAGGCCACAAGCAGAGAGCTGGATGCACTTGGGCCATCTTCCACTGCTTTCCCAGGCCATCAACAGATAGCTGGATTGGAAAAAGGAGTCGCCAAATCTTGAACCGGCACCCATAGGGGATACCAGTACCACAGGCGGAAGCTTAACCTACTACTCCACAGCACCAGCCCACCCCATCTTATTTTTAAAGATTAATGTAAAACTGTTCCTTTTTTGCTTCCTACCTTTTTTTAAGATTTTATTTATTTGAAAGACAGAGAGAGAGAGGTAGAGACAGAGAGAGAGAGAGGTCTTCCATCTGCTGTTCACTCCCCAAATGGCTGCAACAGCCAGAGCTGAGCCCATCCAAAGCCAGGAGCCAGAAGCCTCCTCCAGGTCTCCAACATGGGTGCAAGGGCCCAACAACTTGGGCCATCTTCCACTGCTTTCCCAGGCTACAGCAGAGAGCTGGATGGGAAGAAGAGCAGCCGGGACTAGAACCAGCGCCCACATAGGATGCTGGCACTTTAGGCCAGGACTTTAACCCACTGTGCCACAGTGCCAGCCCCTGCTTCCTACTCTTATTTCCCAATTTATTTGGTTACAATTTGAAAAGTTTGTAGTTTTGTTACTGGGAAAAAAGAAAAAAACACTAGTAGTGAGGGAAAGTGAGTCTTACCACACAGCACACGTGGATTGGTAAGACATCCTACGGGGTACCTCGTGAAGGGAACTTACCATCAGATGATCAGCTCTGCACTGCCCAGCAAACAGCCAATCAGGAGAGTGCAGCAAAGTCAGACCACGAAGAGAACACAGAATAGACAGAACATTTTGGACAACTAGGTATGTGCATTACTTCTTAGCGTTACTCTCGCATTTCTGGACGTTTAGACTAACACAGAGAGGTTTCCCTGCATCTCTCTGTGTGGTTGTAGAGGGCTCAGCAGGCTAGGTCATTATTCAGTGCAGCAGGTACATAACTGGATCCAGGAAGAGCCGTGTCTCTTTGTAGAGGAGGTCTTCTCCTAGGATCAGAGCTCTGGAAGGTCCCCAGGGGGCTTGGGAAGCTTGAATTTAGGGGGAAAAAAAAAGTCTAAATGTCATTTTTAAAAGCTCCTCTCTGCGGCAATTGTTGCTAATTGGTCAAGTTCAGAGCAGATCATGAAGGGAGACTAGGACTTGTCAGGGTCACAGGTGAGCTGAGTTGTACACCTGCTCCTCTGGTGTTTTTGCCGGAGGTGAAATCAGGTGAGACACGAATACAGGCTGGAAGTAGGGGTGATGCGGAAGCACCCACTTTGCCTAGTCCCGCAGGTGAGTCACAGGTGAGCCACAGTTCTCTAAGGGATAGATACAGGGAGCTGGGGACCCAATTCTCCACGTGCGATCCGCAGCTTGGTAGGAAAGGCCGAAGAATCCAGGGCTTGGAATCAAACAAAGGGCCCAGGAGAATCTCTGCTTTTAGTTCCTTCAGTCTCCCAGCTCTTTTATATGATCAACAGGCTAAATGTTACTTCAGAAATTGTCTTTCAGGGAAGTCATTTCAAACGGCGATCCTGGCTTGGTAGTTGGTCATTTCATAGTTCTACAGAACTCGATTAATTCAGAATTGGTTCAGTTAAGCACATAGTTACGGGGAGTATGTGCCTCATTCTGTTTGGCAAATGATGATTTTTCTACTGGGAACATGACTTCATTGTCATGTTTTCCTCTCGTCAGCGCTGTAGGGATTGAAGTTAGAAATCCATGAGCAGGCCTGAGTCCTGCATTTAACAATCAGGGTCAATGCACACGCAATATTAGTATTTTTTATTTGCACTGAGATTAGATGCTTTCATCTTTAAAATGCAAATTCAACTCAAAAGTTCACAAGACCAAATTCTGCTTTATAAAATATGGCTACTGTAAACAAAGTCCACTTTGTAATCAGAATCCCACTTTTTTCCTGCATAAAGCAACACAGAACAATGGTCAGTTATAGATACATGGATTCCAGGAAGCTAAACAAATAAGAATTTGTTCTCTAAGTAAATTAGGTTATGTAAATTCCAAACGGAGACAAAAAAGCACCAAATTAAGGACAAAATGGAACTTTTTCCTAGTTTGTATTGCTTGAACTAATGCAACAAAATCACCCCAAATAAAAAATTTTTAACGACTTAAAATTTTTTAAAAAATCTTGTCCACTGAACACCAGGAGGGTCAACCAAAAACAAAGACAAAACTCCCACTTGATTGAAACCTCAATGCTGAAAGTAACCCAAAAAGTGTTGATTAGAAGTGCTCCCTTTATATATATATATATGAATGAATGGAGATATATATATATATAATGAATACTTTTATATCTGTATTTCACTACCCTGGTGATGCCGGAAGACAGCGCACACTTTCCCTGCTCTTTGTCCGGACTGTAACTACACTTAGATAAAGGAACACGCACCGATTTCAAGACGGGGTCAGGACCCAAGGTGCTTTGAGTTTAGACTTCCAGCCCGGTTCCCAGTTTCCTAATGCACAGTTGCACCAACCCCCGCCCCTAAATAAAAAAATTACTAACTTGAAGGGCAGTCCATGAGGGTCCTGTACCAGTTCCCATTAAACTTTTTCCCAGGCTGTTTGTAGCCTCTAAAACCCAAATCTTAATTTAAAAAAAAAAAAAAGCTATTGAGCCTGCAGACAAAAGGAATTTAGTTTGCTGCAAATATGCAACCGTGTGTGAGATCTGGGCGGGGGCGGGGTGGGGGACGTCTGGACTGGGGTGAAGCCATCAGACGTCATTTCAGTCCTCAACTTGGGGACTGCCGGCTCGCGTCCCACGGTTTCAGGATTCCCCGTGATAACGGTTTCTGTCAGAGATCTGGCCCGTGGCCTCTTCCTTCCCGGAGCTAACCGGATCCCGTCTTGTCCCGTCACCATCCTGCCCGTGAGGACTGAATTCAACCCCCAACCCCTGCTTTCCCGGGCAGCCTCTGGGACCCCCCTGGAAAGTCAAAACGCCCCTCGCAGGACCGGAGGGCTCGGCCACAAGCCAGCGAGGGGCCCACGCCTCTGCGTAAGGGGCCTAGGGCCTCTCCGTCCTCATCCCCGCAGCGCCCCGGACACGAGCGACGGCGGCCCAAGGCGCGCCCCTCAACCCCCGCGGGAGACAAAGGTAGAGTCACCCCAAGCGCAGGGGCACCAGGCGGACGGGCCCCGGGCGGCTCCTCCCGCCCCAGCCGCGTGGCGTGACTGCAGGAGGACCCAGAAAACCGGCCAGGACTGGGCAGGACAGACAAGTCCCAGCCGCGGGGGGCGAACCTGCTCCTCGCAGGAGCGGCGAGGTCGGGCACGCCCCCTGAGCCCTGCCCCCTCGGCACCCGGCCGAGAAACGAAACCGAGGCGCGGGCCGCCTGCGTCACGCGCCCGCCCGGGCGGCCCCGCAGCCTCCGGCTTCCCGGGGCGGGCGACTCCGAGCGACAGCGCGTGCCTCACGTCCGCCCCGCCCCGCCCCCTGTGCGCTGCGCACGCGCAGCCGGGCCCCGCCCCCTCCTCGTCCCCGCCGCGGCGATGGGGTGGGGGCGGGGGCGCCGAGGTGAGGAGGCCGCCGGAGTGCCTGGCCTGCGAGCACGCGAGCCGCCGCCGCCGCTGTCGCGTCACGGCTGCAGGGCCCGCCCTCCTCCTGCCCCTCCTCCCGCTGTCCCCCCCCATCCCGCTGCTCCCGCCTCTCCCCCCCTCCCGCTCCGACCGAGCGGTGACTTAAGCAACGGAGCGCGGTGAAGTCCATTTTTCTCCTGCCTCGCAGCCGCGCCGGGGAGCTCGCGGCGCGCGGCCCCTCCACTCCGGCCCGAGATGACTGCTGCGGCAGAAGCCGAGTTCAACATCCTCTTGGCCACCGACTCCTACAAGGTAGAGCCCGGGGAGGGGGGCAGGTGACCGGGACGAGCGCGAGGCTGGGGGCGGCCGGCGGGCTGGGGGCGCGGCGCGCGCGGCGGCGGCGGCCCCGGGGCAGGCGCTGGGGCGCGCGGCGCGGGACGGGCAGGTGAAGCTGGCGCCGCAGTGGGGCGGTGGGTGGAGGACGGATGGAGGGATGGACGGCAGGAGGCGGGGCCTGGGGGCGCGCTGGGGGGGCGCGGCCGGGGGCTGGGGCGGGCCCGAGCCGGCGTCGGGGCTCCGGGCTCGGACGCGGGCTCGGCCGGTCGGCCGGCGTGGTCGGGCGCACGCCCTCGCTCGTAGCGCGGCCTCTCGGTCCCGCCGGGCTGGGCTGGGCTGGCCTGGCGGAGGCGGGGGGATCGGGTCGGTTAGGTAACGGCCCCCGGGGGCCGGGCGCTGGAGGGCGGGCGTGAGGTGTCCTCGCTGGGTCCCGCGCCTCGCTGCGCAGGTAAGTCCCTCCCAGGGCGGGAGGTGGGAGAGGTCGCGGTCGGGGCGCCGGGCAGCCACGCACGACCCCCTCTCTGCCCGTGGGTGGCCCCGGTGCCGCGCCGGGTTCTCCGGTCCCACGCCACCGGGCTCCGCCTCAGACTCTCTTGCGCCTAGTGTTCATTGATGCTCCTGATCCCTGGTTGCGGACGCCAGCCTGCTGGGGTCACTGCAGGATTTTGGTGAAAAGGAAAGCGAAACACAACGAGTTAAAGGAACTGGAGGTTTGAAGCCTGGAAAAGTTGTCGAGAGGGTAGTGGGACGACACTGCCCCTCACTCCGCCTCTCAGGCGCTGCCTTGTGGAGCTGCCCCCTTTGGCTCTATCTGAGACACACGCTGGTGGAGGCATGGGTAGTTAGAGAAAAACCGGCGAGTGCTCTTTCCCCTAGTTTGCGAATTAGATGGAGTAAACCGAACTGTACTTCTGCCAAGTTTTGTTAGCCAGGACACTTACAAGACGAAATGTCAGATCAGAAGCCCCAATTGCACAGAGTGTGAGTTTTTCTCTGGCTTGGAATAGAGTGATAAAGCATAGAACGCTAGTGTTTTTGGTTTTCTGTGTTGGTTCTTTGCTGTCAAACCTCCAATATAACAAGAAAGTACTTGAGAGAATTCCATTTTACTTAAGTTCTATCTTGTCCATTTCTTTCTAATCAGTTTGAGGGTCAGATTACGGGATTCTGAAGAGTTATTATTGAAATGGAGCCAACAGTTATCAACAAGTGGTCTTCGAAATGGGGTTAAAAGTGGAAAGGTACGCTATTAGGAGACCTGATAGCGCCTGTGGTCCTTTAGTTGGCTCTGAAAGCTCCGCTCGGGCTCCCTTAATTCAATCACTGTTCTCAGGGTCTCATTTCAGAATGGTCTAATTCGTGGTTTTGTAACATTTCTACTTAGCTACGTCTTTAATTTTCAGATTTTTATAAGTATTTACTCATGAAATGATTGAATTATACATGGGAGATGAAAATGGAGGTTGATTATTCCGATTTTTCAAAAACAAAAGTGGGTACAAGTTCCTTTAGTGTGTGGTGCATGCACCATTATACGTAAGCAGTATGAAATTTCTTCAACATCAGACTTCTGGCATTCTTTTAGTAAAACCATAAGTTAACCTTAAAGTGTTCTAATCTTCCAGCAAGGCATACTGAACTGCACTGTTACAGATTACAGCTATTTATTAATTTTTTTAAATGCATTTATTTCTTATTTGACAGGTAGAGTTATAGACAGTGAGAGAGAGAAAGGTCTTCTTTCCGTTCGTTAACCCCCAAAATGGCCACTACACCCTGCGTGCTGCGCCAATCCGAAGCCAGGAGCCAGATGCTTTTTCCCGGTCTCCCATGCGGGTGCAGGACCCAAGCATTTGGGCCATCTTCCACTGCTTTCCCGGGCCACAGCAGAGAGCTGGACTGGAAGAGGAGCAACCGGGACTAGAACCCGGCGCCCTTATGGGGTGCCGGCACCACAGGCGGAGGATTAACCAAGTGAGCCACAGTGCCAGCCTCTGATTACAGCTATTTAAAAAACTTGATTCCAGTCTATTTCCAAGACAGATTGCCATAATTTTATCACCTTAGTAATACGGAACTTTTCTAGGAGATTGTCATTTAGTAAGATTTTTTCAGCCCCCCCCCCCAAAAATCCCCAGAGGGATCAGTCAAGGTACTATTTTCGTTGCAGTGGGTTACAGTAGATTGTATTCCTCAGCCACATTTTCATCTGGTTCATTTTTCCTTGCCTCTCTAAGTAGTCCTTATAGCCTATCTCCCACTTTGGCCTTTTCAGTCATCTTAGGAGAACTGGGAACAAAAAGGATAATCTGGAACTTAGAAGCAATGAAGCTTAAATTTGAAAATGACGTAAGAATGTTGTACATCCATGTCAGTGTGTACAAACTATTGACTAGTTGAGCTGGGGAGCACTATTGACTAGTTGAGCTGGGGAGCTTGTAGCTTTAGAAGTGTTGGTTTAGACAGCAAAATAGTGTTGACTTCTTTCCAAAACTGAAGGAAGAGTAATTGAGTGCCTGAGCACTCCTTTTGCTAGTAGATGGAGTGCTGGCCAAGCACATCACAGTGTGTGGGAACTTTAGGTTTATCTGCACGCTCTCAAGTGGGCCCAGACCACTTACCACAGGGGGAGCAGGTGAAATATGTACAGTCATTTCTATAACCTGTACATAATGAGGAGCCAGGAGCACAGGCAGGTGGGGTTCACTCTTCCATGTTCATCCAGGGCCATTTACAAATAAAGACACTTTATCTCAAGTGTTAACCTTTTAAATTTTCAGAGTAGCTCTAGTTTGTATTTTTGTTGTGCTGTATGAAATAGAGAAAGGTGCCCTTGGGCTGGTGTTAGCCATTGCAGTGCATGAATGGGATTTGGAATGCTTTTGTAAAGGGAACCAGGGGGTTTCTTCACTCACTTCTTGGATAGCCATTGATCAGTTTCCAAATAACTGGACCATTAAAGATCCTCTTTGAGTTCCTTTCCCCTTAAGATAGTTTGTTACAAACCAGAGCAGGGAATGGTTTTAACATTTATGAACATTTTACCTTTTTTAGAGATTAATGGAAGTTGTCGTCAGTTAGAAAAGTCATGGACAGTACACGAAAGTGATCCCTAAGCAGTATAGTGTAAGCCGCATCACAGGCATGAGCCCTGGGTCTGGAAGTTGAGACTCCAGGTGGAACAGCCGCATCCTGGCCTTCTGCTAATGTAGACCCTTTCTGAGGCAGTGATGATGGCTCGAGTATTGGGTTCCAGGCGCCAAGCTCCTCTGGGAGTAAACCAGTGGATGGGAGCTCTTTTTCTGTGTGTGCCTCTCAAATTAAAAAAGGAAGTCATACATTAGTTAATGAAATGTGCCGTCGGGTTGTACAGTGAGTCACTTCTCCAACAGCCATTTGTAAGCTGGAAATCCAGAAGGCAGCTCATTTTCAACCACTCATTTCATAAATATTGGAGACCTGTTGGGTGTTGTGCAGGAAGATGAAGATGAGCAGTGCCCCCCGTCCGGGGTGGAGGAAGGTTGATGTTAGAGAAGTTTCAGAGAGCTATGTAATTTGTATATGGGCTCGCATGACCAGGGCAAGTACTACCATCCTGCTCTTTCAGCTATACTTTGCTTTTTAACTGCAAAGAAATAAATCAGAAGCCAGTATTGCTAAGACCTGTATGTGAGAGCACTGGGTAGCATATCAAAAGACCCAGAGTATGTTAATGTATAATAATGGCATTCATATTCAAGGCAGCATTTTAAAGAAGATTTTACTTCCTCTCAACATCAGATAGCAAATCTTAGAAGTTTGGGCTTTTTGAGGAAAAGATGTGGAGCTAGATGAGAGTTGTCCCATAGGCGATTAGTTCTGCCTGGCACGTGTGCGTGCCTCTGTCTTCCTCTGTGCTGTTCCCCTTGTTCGTAGCTGTCTCTTCGGCTGCTCCTGGAGGGACTCTTCATTGTTGGCCCAGTGGCTGCCGCGGTGGCTGGGCCTGTGAGCCGGGGGCTCTGCTGCTTGTACCTGGACCTTACCTCTGCGTGCTTATAAGGCGTGCGCCAATATAAGACATGGCACGGGCATTTCAACTTCTCCAGTAAGTTTTACATTATAAATTACAGGAAAATCTTGGACAACAGAAATAAAATCACGTGTATAAACTGTGAATGTACTTCATGGAGACTTTAATTTAGGTTAGTAATAATTGTATAAGCATTGCGAAAGAAAAATACCCGGAGCCAGTGTCCTTTTGTTGAGTTGATGAAATTCAGTTTGAAGGTGTGGCAAAGAGATACAAGTTGTTTGAAACTCAGTGCCAGGAGGTTTAAGGGACGAGGCCGTGTAATAAATATAGGTAAATGGTTTTGCAATTTCTCCTTTCCCAGGGTAGTATAATCCAGAAATCCTTAAAGCCATATTTGTGAAATGATTGTCGCTTCAAAGCCAAATAGCCGTGAATTGTTTTCTGGAGCAACAGATGGATTCCCAGAGATTTGGACTTCTAAAATAATACTGAAAAGAAGAATGAACCAGTTCAGATTTTTGCGTTTCTAGTACCCTAGCTTTGAAGGGGCAGGAAAGACGTAGCTAGTGTAGGGCTGAGTGTATCCTCTGCTGATTGCCCTTAGATATTATTATTATTATTATATAGATATTTAACTTATTCTGTGACCTTGGATATGTCACCACAGAGCTCTCAAATACAGGTCTTGCGAATGTTGGCTTCTGATTTCTTCGCAGCTGAAGAGAAAAGTACAGCTGAAGAAGTAGGACCGTGGTACCTGCTTTGGTCATGTGATCCCACTGTGGGAGGAACGATCTAGGGAAGACATCAGGTCTGCTTTATGGGGCACGGAGAGAGGCATCCAGGCACAACTGGACTGCTCTCCCAGAAAGGCTCCACTCCTCTAAAGCAGTCTGAGCCCTAGAACAAGGCTGTAAAGCTTGAAGCTTTGTGGTGCAGTTGCTTGACCAACATCCCATAATGGAGAAACTTTCTCTTTTTTAAAAACGTAGGATTAGAACCATTTTGTTCTAGGCATTAAAACGTGGCCAGTTATTATTACCTAGTATCAGACAATTTTTGGATGCTTATCTTTTCATGAGGCAAGCCAATCATGCAATTGTGAAATTAAGTTCTATTATGAAAAGCTACGTTTTCCTGTGTGCCTTTCAAAAAAAGAAAAAGAAGATTGATTGATTGATTGTAAAGGCAGAGAGAATCAAAAAGAGCTTCCATCTGCTGGTTCACTCCCCAAATATCTGAACAGCTTGGGGCTGGACCGGGCCAAAACAAGGAGCCCAGAACTCAATCCTGGTCCCCCAGGTGGGTGGCAGGGACCTGAGTGCTTTCATCACCCACTGCCTTCCCAGGCGCATTAGCAGGAAGCTGGGACTCAAACAAGCGCTACAGTGTGGAGTGCAAGCAGGGCTTAACCTGCTGTGCCACAAGGCCAGCCCACATGTGTTTCTGTACAGTTGCTGCTCCGTTAGCTGCAGGAGGGCTGTGGCAGTTTGGGAAGCACTTTTAGTGGTAAGGCTTGCTGTGGATATTATCAAGTATTTTCTGTTTTGTCCACATCTAGTGAATAATTTTGTGTTTATTGTAGAATCACTTTCTCTTGACAGAAGTCAAAGCAGCAATAAGAAGCTAACAGGATTTCGGAGCTTCCCTTTGGTAGACACTTTGTTTTTGAATACCATGAGACTCTTTTTCAGTATATACTAAATGCTTAATACTGGGCTCTTGATTTCCCTTCCTATTCCTTGCACAGCCTTCCCTAAGAATTTGCACTGTTATAAAGCCAGGCTCAAGCCAAAAATCATTAGAGTGCTTAATTCCTCCCCATCCACTCGATCAGCCCAGCTCTCCTCTGCCTCCCCCAGTCCCAGGCCAATTCTGTCATCCAGCATCATCTCAGAAGTAGCCTCTTAGCTCCTGCTTCCTCTCTGGTCATCGTGTAATCCGCCCATTGCCCGGCTGGTCCTCCAGTCGAATCGGCTCATATTCACCACAGTTTACAGATAGCTTCCCGTAAGCCTGACATGACCTTCCCTTTGCCAGCCTCTGCCCGCACCACCCGCCTCCCTCCTCCACCCCCTTACTCCATACTCCAGGCCCCAGCCACACACTCTTCCTCCTGTTTGATCCCTATGCCAAAGCATTTCCTTTCCTGTCTCCTCCTCAGAGAAGTCTCCAGGCCCCGCTAGCCATCCATTCCCCCTTCATCATTCGTGGCCTCCATCTTGACCTGAAAGGAGTTGCTTGTGTGCCGCTTTCCTCATCCCGCTTCAGCTCCCATTAGCCCCCTGAGAGTGGGACCACGTCAGTCTATCTTCAGCTTCTAGACAGTAGATACTGTTGATGTTTGTGAATGAATGGACTGTTTCTAGAACAGTTGAGTTGAATTTACATCCTAGCTGGTTTTCTGGTGAAGGATCAGAGTGACAATTGTAGCAAAAAGGAAAATAAAAAGGATATATACTAGCAAAACTAGAGTCATTTTTGATCATGTGTTGGCTGTGTTGGTAGGATAATATTGACTAAAGTTTCCCATTAAAACAATGTATGTAGCCGGCGCCGCGGCTCACTAGGCTAATCCTCCACCTAGCGGCGCCGGCACACCAGGTTCTAGTCCCGGTCGGGGCGCCGGATTCTGTCCCGATTGCCCCTCTTCCAGTTCAGCTCTCTGCTGTGGCCCGGGAGTGCAGTGGAGAATGGCCCAAGTGCATGGGCCCTGCACCCCATGGGAGACCAGGATAAGTACCTGGCTCCTGCCTTCGGATCAGCGCGGTGCGCCGGCTGGTGCGCTGCGGCCGGCGGCGGCGGCGGCCTTTGGAGGGTGAACCAACGGCAAAGGAAGACCTTTCTCTCTGTCTCTCTGTCTCTCACTGTCCACTCTGCCTGTAAAAAACAAAAACAAAAACAATGTATGTGCCCATATAAATAAATCTAAACACACTCTGTATTCTCTGTAAACGTGTTGGCTGTTAGTAAAGAGTATGTAGTAAATTATGTTTCGTGAGTAATTACCTGTGAATTTGCCTAGATAACTCAGATACTTTGCGATCTAAAACATTCGCTTCAATTTCTCCAAGAGGAGTTTCGACTCCTACCTCATTTCTCATTGAACAGCCTGCCAAGTGTGTTTTAAGTGATACTTAATGACAGAGGAGGCATTCTGAACACTTAGGCAAAGGTGGGTTTGAGAGTACTGTAGTTTATAACACAAACCCCAAATAAACCTTTAAAATTATAACCATGGGGAATTATTGCCCAGAACAGGAACTGTATTTGTGTGATGGAGTTAAAGTAGTTTAAAGACATTTCTCTTTAGCTTTTGACTGCTTGGTCCTCTTAGTAAAGGCTCACAATTAGTTTGCCTTTTAATACTTTTAAATCTGATGCATAAATAAATTTATATAATCTGCACTGTTAAGTGTCTGAACTTTAAAGAAGGTCGAACTACAAACGATAGAGAAACATTAAATATGATTGATTTAAATAAAACAGAGAGCTCCAGGTCTCCTGCCTGAGTTAAGCTCTTGGAGTCCATATTACTAGAGAGCTGTCCCTCCAGGATTGCCTGTGCGCCCTGGAAGGGCTGTTTCTCTAGAGCTTGCAAATATGCTTCCATTGGAGAGGAAGCAGAACCTCCTGAAGTGTCAGTGGGAATGCAGGAATACTGCAAGAAAAGTTCAGTGGTCTGCGGAATTAAAACAATGCACGTTTTCTGTGGCCTTTGTGAAGACCCCACGTATATGTAAGAATTTTTGTGCTAAACTACAGAGATTCTTGAGGATGGAGCCAGATGTTGTGATTGTACAACCAAATAGAAAATGTTGGCTTGCCTCTACTTGAGATCAGTGCTAGACAGGAACATTGGTTTATGTTCTCAGTGGTCTCCTGGGAGACTAGACTGCAAAGATTTCTGCCATCATTGCCATGATTCGGCCTGTACCTTACATTTTAGGGTGTTTTTCTTTCTTCTCTTTCAATCAGGCAAATATATATATATGTATATTCTTCTGGTTATTTTTAATAGGTAAAATGTTTTAATATGCTTAATACATTGGAATAAAATTCAAATTATAATGAACATGTGATTTTCACTTTTATTTTTATTAAAAGCAGATAAATTTTTAACAGTATCCCTAATATAGTAACCAGCTTCACAGAAAAGGTACGCTAAGACCTCTTCACATTTTTAAATTGTAAGGATTTGATGTTATAATGTGTGGGAATTTATGTTCCAATTAGGAAGGAATTTAGAAACAAAGATTGCAAAAAAAATTTTTTTTCTTTGCTGCTTTTACAATGTCACTATGGAGGCTAGAAGGGATCATTTCAGTACCTCATTATTTAAAGAAGCCATCATGAGAAGTCATTGTTAATTTGGTAAACATATCACACTTAGATAGTAGTAGTACAGGCTGGACATCCCTGATCTGAACGTCCAAATCTGAGGCACTCCAAAATCTGAAACTTTGGGGGCACTGACATGCTGCCACAAATGGAAAATTCCATACCTGATTGCATGTGATGTGTCTCAGTCAAAATCAGGTGCACTAAAAGTATCCAAAGAAGTTACCGTCAGACTATGTATATAAGAGTGTAGTTACTGTTGGACTATGTATATAATAGTGTATATGAAACATCAGTGAATTTGTGATTATATTGGTTCCTGTCTGTAAGATATTTCAATATGTGTCTGCAAACATTCAGCATGCAAAAAAGAAAATCTGAAATCCAAAGCATGTCTGGTCCCAGGTAGTTTGGATAAAGGATAATCAGTCTGTACCAAATTGCGCTGACTTCGAGTCTATTCTTTTATGTCACGTGTGCCTACAGGCAGCTGCTGCTCTTCTGGACCGAGAAATATTACCCAGTACCATACTTGTCAGGCCAGGGCCCTGCACTTAAGTTCCTTCTCTTTGTTTTTGAAAGTTAATACTCTGATGTGGTTTTGACTAAACTGTGAAAAATATGTCAATAAGTAAGACATTTACTTTTCAGTTTATATGAACTAGGAAAATAAGCTGACCAATAGCAAGTAAGAGGTATCATTTCTCTAGTTTCAAAATAATGTCAAGACGTTTTCGCTTGTGATGTGTATTCTGCTTTTCTGGTGTCTTCTAATTGAGGTGTTTTTCTTTATATAGGTTACTCACTATAAACAATACCCACCCAACACAAGCAAAGTTTATTCCTACTTTGAATGCCGTGAAAAGAAGACAGAAAACTCCAAAGTAAGGAAGGTGAAATACGAGGAAACAGTATTTTATGGGTTGCAGTACATTCTTAATAAGTACTTAAAAGGTATTACTTTTCCTAGTACATTTACAACACTGCTTTTATATGACTCCATCAGTTTCTCCTATATTGTTATATTCTGTTATTTGAAGTAACTTTCCAAATAGTCTGATTTTGACATTTATTTTGTTACTTTAGGGATTCTTTCTTTTGGATTTTTGAAGAGCTGTTAAGTCAAATGCATTGAATCATAATTTAGTGTGTATGCTTGGTGTTCTAAGTATGAAAAAGGTTTCCTGAAACATCTCCAACCTTTTGCAACTTAAACTGCAGAATTGAATACAGATCAGTTGAATTCTGTGTAAATGATGACTCTTTCCATAATCTTGGCTACTTTAAGATCTGGCAGTTCAGATATATTATGTTATTACAAAACCTAGTTAGAGGCCAAAAGCACTTTTGGCAAGATTACCCCAGATATTTTAAATAAGTTTATTATTTGTATGAAGTGATCAAAGACTGATGGCACACTTGAAATGAGTTTTATAGCTTGATAGCTTTGTAAAATACCATTTATTTTGATTTATAACTAAAATGTGTTGCCTATTCTACGCCAGTATTATCTGAGTAGTTCAGATGTCTTCAGTTAATTAGTTCTCACAATATCCTATAAGTAGGTACTCTGCAGTTGTTGTCCTCAGATAACATGTTATTTCACAGATGAACAAAGTTAACTAAAAGTGTATTGCAGGCAAACATTTAGTGATTCTGAAAATTACTGGCTTGCTAGCCCTGAAGACACCACAGTCTTTAGGAATGAGAGGCTCACCTGGAAAATGTAGGGTGCTTCTGAATCATCTCAAATTTGAAGAGTATCTAAATTAAAAGGATAGAAGAGATACCTTTTGAAAGTGAGCTTATTGTGATTTTTTTAAAGGACTATGCAAATAGTAATTTTTCCTATCGCATATCTGCTTTTATAACAAATTAACATTTATGCTTAGAGTGAGTTGTTGGAAGTAGAAATTCCATTTCTGACTGCTGCTGGCACTGGGTAAGTCATTTAACCTCTCAGTTACTATTTTTTCAATCCATAGAATGGATGAAATATGAAATAGCTAAAGATGTTAATTCTGTGACAATTTGGGAACTCACAGAACGTCTTTAGAAATTGTAAACAGGACGTGTATGTCCTTGTAGGCAAAGTAGTGACCAAAGAGAAAATCCAGGAAGCCAAAGAGGTCTACAGAGAACATTTCCAAGATGATGTCTTTAATGAAAAGGGATGGAACTACATTCTGGAGGTAAAAAAATGCTCTCATGCTTTGATTTATTTTATTTTTTAAGATTTGTTTGTTTATTTGAAAGGCAAATTTTTAGAGAGAGGGAGAGACAGAGATCTTCCATCTGCTGGGCCACTCCCCAAATGGCTGCAACATCCTGGACTGGGCCAGGCCAAAGCCAGGAGCCAGGAACTTCATTCTGGTCTCTCACGTGGATAACAGGTCCCAAACACTTGGTCCATCTGCTGCTGCCTTCCCAGGTGCATTATCAGGGAGCTAGAGTAGCAGTGGAGCTACCGCAACTTGAACCAGCACCCATATGGGATGCCAGAATCACAGGCAGCGCCTTTACCCGCTGCACTACAGTGCCGGCCCCAGATCTGTTTCTAGTTTAGAGTTTCTTACAAAAGAATTTTAACAGAAGATTAGACTATCATTCAGCTCTTTTCTGCTTTGGACCTATTTAGTGAAAAGGTAGTGTTCTTGGACCAATTGTAGAATTTGTTGGAATAAACTCATTGTTTATCTAAAACAGCAGAGAAACACATCATTTTAGTTTTGATCACTTTGGAATTATCTACCCTTCCTTTAAAAAAAATTTATTTGGAAGAGTTGGAGAGAGAGAGAAAGCTGGTTCACTTCCCCCACGATGGCCACAATGGCTAGGGATGGGCCGTGCCAGAGCCAGGAGCGTCATCCAGGTCTCCCACGTGAGTCTCCCATACTTAGGCCATCTTCTGCTGCTTTCCCAGGCACATTAGTCAGGAGCTGGATAAGAAGTGGAGCAAACAGTTCTCAAACTGGGGCCTGTGTAGAATGCCGGATCGCAGGCTCTGGCTTCACCTGCTGTGCCACCACACTGGCCCCATCCACTCCTAGATATTGATGTTCTTTGCAGAAGCAGTTGACAGCATTAAATTTGAAAATTAATGTCAGTGCCTGAATTGTTAATAACTTTATTTTTAATTTAGGAGAGTAAAGATATTTTGATGAGATTTTTAGCGATGTAATAATACCGACATTTGTGATTTCTGATGGTAAATTTAGCCTCTGTGAAATGTAAAGAACCTTAACAAGAGAGGCAGCTGAGTAGCATCTGTGGAATGACTGCCTTCCTTGTCTCCTACCAGAAATACGACGGGCATCTTCCAATAGAAGTCAAGGCTGTTCCTGAGGGCTCCGTGGTTCCCAGAGGAAACGTCCTCTTCACAGTGGAGAACACAGACCCCGAGTGCTACTGGCTCACAAACTGGATTGAGGTGAATTGCTGCGGTTTTGCTGTTTTTTGTTTTTTTTTTTTTTTTAAATTAGCATTACTTGAAGACTTAAAGATCTGTGAACTGAGATTCTAGGTTAGAATTTGCTGCAAATAAAGCTCTGTAATGTTCTACAATCACTACACTTCTCCAGGCCCTAGTTTCCTCATCTGCAAAATGACAGCTGAAATAAGTAACCTTTAAGTTTCCTTCGAGTGACAGCTAATGCTCTGAGCTTTCTGTCCAAATAAAATGATTGAGAGTTACTGCTGTCACAGCTCAGTTAGCGTCCATCTCGTCTGCTGCTGTTCTGGTTGTGCCGTACCTTAGCGCAAGATGAGAAGACGGCACAGATGCATGTTCAGTGACCACAGGCATGTCCTGGCTGTTCTGTCCCACTTAGACCAGAGGAACTCCTTTCCAACCTCAGTGAGCACTTCATTCATTCTCAAATTAGTTCTCTTCCCGGCGATGCCACCTGATATTTTCCTTTTCTCATCTCAGTACAGACAAGGTCACTATTCATTTCCTTTAAATTCCTCAGCCTATGTTGCAGCATTTGTGTCTTTGTTTTCCTTGCATGCATACCTAATTAGGAATGTGTTTTCCTGGTCAGTTTTTATAATGATAATTCGCTTGGCTGTTCAACAGTTTTAGATTTTATGTATAAAGAGTAAATACCCTAGAAAATGACTGAAGAAATAACCACCTTGGGGCCAGCACTGTGGCACAGTGGGTTAATGTCCTGGCCTGAGGCGCCTGCATCCTATATGGGCACTGGTTGAGACCCAGCTGCTCCACTTCTGATCCAGCTCTCTGCTTTGGCCTGGGAAAGCAGTAGAAGATGGCCCAAGTCCTTGGGCCTCTGCACCTGTGTGGGAGACCCAGACGAAGCTCCTGGCTCCTGGCTTTGGATTGGCGCAGTACCGGCCGTTGGGCCAACTGGGGAGTAAACCATCGGATGGAAGACCTCTCTCTCTTTCTCTGCCTCTCCTTTCTGTGTAACTCTGACTTTCAAATAAAAATAAATCTTTAAAAAAAAGAAGAAAAAGAAATAACACCTTACTGAGGTGTGTTTAAATTTTTTTTTTTTTTTATTTGACAGGTAGAGTTATAGACATTGAGAGAGAGAGGCAGAGAAAGGTCTTCCTTCTGTTGGTTCACTCCCCAGATGGCTACCACGGCTGGTGCTGCGCCGATCCAAAGCCAGGAGCCAGGTGCTTCTTCCTGGTCTCCCATGCGGGTGCAGGGCCCAAGCACTTGGGCCATCCTCTACTGCCCTCCCAGGCCACAGCAGACAGCTGGATTGGAAGAAGAGCAACCAGGACTAGAACCCAGCACCCATATGGGATGCTGGTACCGCAGGCAGAGGATTAACCAAGTGAGCCACGGCACTGGCCCCTAAATTTTTTTTTAATTTGTTATTTATTTTCATCTTATTTGAAAGGCAGACAGAGATAAAAAGATTTACCATGTGCTGATTCATTCCCCAAATGCCACCAATAGCCAGGAATGGGCCAGGCTGAAGCCAGGAGCCAGGAACTCCATCCTGGTCCCCCATGTGGGTGACAAGGACTCATGAACTTGAGTCATCACCTGCTTCTAATGCTGTGTGCATTAGCAGGAAGCTGGAATCAGGAGTAGAGCTGGGAGTTGAACTCCGGCACTGTGATAAAGGATGCGGGCATCCTACGTGCCATTTAACTGTTGTGCCGGGTTGCCACTCCTGAGGGGTTTTCAGTTTGTCCAGAGTCAGTTGTTCACATCAGCTGGCTTTTTACCTTAAATAATACCCAGAGCTCTCAAATAGATGAGTATCTATTAGAGCATTCATCATCTGTGGCAACACTTGTTTCAGTTTTTGTCTTTTTAGTTTTCTGACTGTAGATCTCTCTTATATCTAATTGACCTTTCTCAAAGTGTATATTTATGGAAGAAGAGTAGCAACTACCTTCTACTTTCTTTCATGTTGTTTATCCTCTTCTGAAAATGAAAACACGCTGCCCTCACCAAATTTTTGGCTTTTTATATCTATTATTATTTTTGGTATATTTCACCAGGAAACTACAAGTAAAAAAATTTACAACAGATATCTTAGAACAGTAGTTTTTTAACAAAAAAACATAAATGCATGTGTGACAAAAGAGAAATACACCACATGAATCCAATACAGCACTCCTAAATGTTGTTTTTTTAAATAATTTTTTATTTTTTTATTATTTTTTTATTTTTTGACAGGCAGAGTGGACAGTGAGAGAGAGAGACAGATTTAAAAGTATATAAACCCTTACTTTTGGTTGCTTATAACCTGAAACAGAAATTGTGTTCTTTTTACTAATACATATATATATATATTTTTTTTTTTAGGTTATTTCAGTCCTATGTAGATATTTTTATCTAAAGTGCAAGAATGTACAATCTGATATATCTCTTATTAAGAGTTTCTGATTGAGCCTGTGAGTTTGTAACAAATGTGTGTACTCTGAAGGCCAGTCTAAAATAGACTTCATATTCACTTTGCTGCCTTTGTGGGGGTAGGGTAGACTCATCCTACCCTTGTCAGTTCCCAGCCCAGATCATTCCCTGTGTTGGAAATCAGACTCAACAGACTGATTACTTACAAACTGAAAGATGTTCTTCTGTTAGTCTGTGACTTAAAACATCTGTAATAATAGCACTGAGTAGTCTTCCTTCTGATTCCCTTCCGCGGAGTTTGTTCAGAGTTACAAATAACTATTCATTGATTATTATTCGCTGGAAGCACAGGAAATTGCTTTATTAATTTAAGTTCTGGTGCTGGAAGAAACCATCATTCTCTCATCAGATCTCAGAACAGGTTTAAAACAGCCGGGAGTTCTATGAAAGTGTCGCAGGCTTACGAGGGGGTGAGGAATAAGTGCATTGGACTAAATTTACTCCTTTCCTCCACCAAAACCCAATGGCCAGCCGTTCTGCTGTTAAGAAAATGGAAGAAAAGATGATGTTAGAGACAGTCACACTGATCCACTGACGCGAGGCCTGAGAGACGAGCAGACGGGAGGACGGAGTGGCTGCAGGCCCTCCTCTCCCTCCCCAGTTCTCCCTCTGAGCTCCCCGTCCTGCCCAGTGACACTACAGTGGACGCTCCTGAGGGCAAATCCCAGCCTCTTCCCTTTGCTCTGTCTCTTCAGCTCACGTTCTAGCCGCATTGTTGGGCAAACACTGTTCTGGAAGAGTTTCCAGCACAGCCTACGTGGTTAGATGTTGGATTGACCCGAGCTGACTTCCTTTTCCCCTTCCTTGCACCAGCAGTGACACTTTTTAAAGTTAATTTAAGCTGGTTTTGTTGGATTGTGGAAAGGAAGTGGTGATGTGAAGAATCATTGTGTTTGATCATTCTTTCTCCCCTTCCCTGCCTTTTTTTGAGGGGTAAGGTCAGTCTTCTGCCTTTATAGCTCATCTAGGGTTTTCATGTCTTTATGTCTTTCCCATACTCCCAGATAGTATCAGCTGAATTAAAATATGCAAGTTGATTGGATTAAATTCACATGAATCTTGATTAAGTATCAGCTAGGTACCAAAAAAATACAAGCCACGGAGATTAGAGTAAGGTATGTTCATTGAAGGGCCTCTAAGAGAGGTGGCTCTTCATTCTTAACTAGCCACCAAAGCCATTAAGAGTGAAGGCTGAGATGAGAACAGAACAGGCGGGACTTCCGAGGGAACCATGAAATGAAAAGTAAGCTTTGAATAAGCGGCGGGGGGCGGGCTCGGGGAATGGCACAGTGTTCTTCATGGCAGATAGTGCAGGGAGGGGTTGGGGGTCGCAGTGCACATGTAAAACTAGTAGGAGATACACCTGTAAATGGTAAACAGGGAAGGATCCAGACGGCCTTGAATTCCGTGTGTATTGGCATTTCCTCCTCTCGACAACAGATGACCATTGAAGGTCTTTCAGGAATGATGGAACCGGAGTGAAGCTTACTTTAGAATGATAACCAGTGCGCAGGTGAAGAACGAGGCACATACAGGCTCGAGATCAGGTGTTAGGAGGATCAAGGGCAGAGGGCTCCAAAGAGGAATTGCTAAAGCAGATCCAGGAGAGGTTGGAGGTGATTGGTTATGGTTTATGTAGTAATTGCATCAGTTTCTATTATGTAACACACTACCCCAAAACCTAGTGGCTCAGAACAGCTGTTACCTCCAGTGATTCTGTGGTTGACTGGATGGTTCCCCACTGGTCTTGCTGGAACGAATCTGTCTGCCTGCAGCTGAGGGGCCAGCTAGGGCTGCCCAGTCTGTCTGCATGTCTGGGCTGCAGCTCACAACGGGGGGACTGCCTGCCACTGGACCTCGCTTCACAACCTGGGCTGCTTCACAGTAGCATAGTCTCGGCTTCTAAGAGGATGAGCATAGAAGCTACAGAACCTTCTGAAACTGGGGCTTGGAAGTCACGCAGTGTCACTTGTGCTGTGTTCTGTTGATCAAAAGCAAATCAAAAGATCAGCCCAGAACCAAGGCTTCCAGAAGTGGACTCCATCTCCTGGGGAGAGGATTTACAATCACAGGAGTCTAATACTACAAGTTTTTGTGTTTTTTTGTTTTGTTTTTAAATATAAATTAGCAAGTCCGAGGTTAAATAGTCTTTATTTTTAATTATTTATTGATTACCTTTGTAACATTAATAAAATATCTTCTAGGTTCAGCTCAATTGTAATCAGCAATGCTTTCTAAAGCAGACTTGAAGCTGCTTCCAGTGTGCTGTCTGGTGCACAGACTAGAGAACGGAGCAGTGAGTTCCCAGCCGTGAGGTTGATACTGTTGCTGTGAGCGAGCAGCAGGCTGCTTTTGGAATTTCCCAGCGGCGGCGGCGAAGAGGGAAGATGAGGAACTGTTCTTAGTAGAAAGTAGGAGCCTAGCAGCTCTTCACGTTTCCTCATTTAGGAGCCGTGACAGTAGTCGCTGAGCTACAGAAGAGACAGTGACCTTGCAGTTGTGCAGCATATGAAGAAGGTTTCACACAACTGTTGACAGTGACCTTGGGTAGACGCTAAGTGAAGCATAACTCAGTGAAGAGCGTTCTCTGGTGCTAAAGTGTCTTGAGCGTAAACCTACCAGTAGTCAGCGAGTCAGCGTTACCTAACGCAGGAGTCGCTTGTTGAGGTGTAGTCCACAGGCAGTGCTGGTCTGTAAGCTGGTTGATGCATGTCCACAGTAAGTGCAGAAATCAGGCATTTAGAAACGGATCAGCAGGACACTGCCTCACCACCCAGTGCAAGGGTACTTTATAAGACTGTCAGTCCATGACAGGTTGAACATTCTTTTAAAACTTGGCCCTTTACCATAGACGGTTTACAGAATACTATTTGCTTCTCTGGAGTTCTTGGTAGAAACTACTGTTGATGACCTGGTTTGCTTGTCGTCGTGATTGCTGACTTGGCGAGCTGAGTTATGTCTTCTGTCTGGAATACACACAGTCGGCACATGGCGCAGCTGAGTGTCTCCTTAGTATTTCTAATAGCCTGAGTCCAGGACATCCCCCAGGAGAAAGCTGGGGCTTCCTCAGGAGGGACACAGGATTTTGTGTATTAATACTTATGATTAATTTTGTTACTACAGACTATTCTTGTTCAGTCCTGGTATCCAATCACAGTGGCTACAAATTCTAGAGAGCAGAAGAAAATATTGGCCAAATATTTGCTAGAAACTTCCGGTAACTTAGATGGTCTGGAATACAAGTTACATGATTTTGGCTACAGAGGAGTCTCTTCTCAAGAGGTAAGGAACGGAAATGAGCCTCATGTAGTAAAATGTGGGTTGACTGAGTACCGGTGTAAAATATCTGGGACATATTGGGATTGATCTTGGTTGTAAGTATGTCACATTTTGAAATTCCAAGGACTCAGTCAACAGATACATAATCAGTATCTACTGTGTGTCAGCCTCTGTTCAAGGTACATGGGATATAGCCTTCAACAAAAGTCCCTGTCCTTTATATATTAGATGGATGGATGGATGGATGGCGGATGGATGGACAGACAGAGACAGACATAATAAAAGTATCAGATGTCAAATAATGCCACAGAGAAGCACAAGGCAGGGTAAGGGAAGAGAGAGTGATGGGAAGTGGGGGTGGGGCACTGCGAAGTAGGCCTGAAGAATCCTTCAATATTTAGGAGAAGTGGAATCTTGTCATAAGGAATTATTGTCTCTCGTAATAGCTAAATATCTAAGAAGAGTTAAAGACAGTAATTTCCTGGGGAACTACACTGTCTGCCTTCAATATGGATTTTTCTTTTTTGGAATTTTGTTTCTGGTTAATTTTCCAGACTGCTGGCATAGGAGCATCTGCTCATTTGGTTAACTTCAAAGGAACAGATACAGTAGCAGGAATTGCTCTGATTAAAAAATACTACGGGACAAAAGATCCCATTCCGGGCTATTCTCTGCCAGCAGCGGAACACAGGTAAGAATCTGTTGTTTTCTTCCTCCTGTCACATAAGCATTTGTTTTCCAGAACTAATCTTTTGTAAAATGATGTTTTGTTTGACGACACAGCTGAGTGCTATAGGAGATCATCATGATTTTAAGCAACAAAAAAAATCAGTATTTGTGTATAGAATAGTATCAGGGAGGCAGGGAGGCAGGGAACTTCTAACCGTCCTAAAAGAAACAATTTGAGAGGCCGGCACCGTGGCTCACTAGGCTAATCCTCCGCCTTGCGGCGCCGGCACACGGGGTTCTAGTCCCGGTTGGGGCGCCGGATTCTGTCCCGGTTGCCCCTCTTCCAGGCTAGCTCTCTGCTGTGGCCTGGGAGTGCAGTGGAGGATGGCCCAAGTGCTTGGGCCCTGCACCCCATGGGAGACCAGGAGAAACACCTGGCTCCTGCCATCGGATCAGCGCGGTGCACCGGCCACAGTGCGCCGGCCGCGGCAGCCATTGGAGGGTGAACCAACGGCAAAAAAAAAAAGGAAGACCTTTCTCTCTCTCTCTCTCACTGTCCACTCTGCCTGTCAAAAAAAAAAAAAAGAATTTGAGAGCTTTTCCCCAGCACGTACATTGCCACATAGGTATTTATTTAAGGGAGAAATTTTCTTTCAATGGCTGTGTTGCCGTGTGCAGTAGGTGTTCTTCAGAAGTCAGGTCTAGAAGTGCTCGGTGTAGGACTAGTCTCTCGTCCCTTCTCACACTTCCCCATGTTGTCACCCATCTTTGCCCTGGACTCGTACCTCCTGTAAGGGATGAGAAACCTGCATTAGGAAAAAAAAGAGGGTTCGGATTCTGGTGCTTCCTGGTGTGCTTTTACAACACTGTCTCAACTGCAGTGAGAAGGAAATTGTGGTCTGGACTGCAGTGCCCTGGTCCTGGGTTAACCTCAATCAAAGCGATGATGATTTTTTTAAATGTGCGCCAAACATTGTTTCTGGTGTTCATATCAAAAGTACTGGCGTCCTTTGTGGTCGTTTTTTAAATTCCCTCATATCTGAAAACTGCTGGTGTTAAAGCCAACAGTGAGTTTCGGGAGAATGAAGCTGAGCTTTATTATTTGATGCATAGTAAGTGGCCAACCTCCACATGCAAGGCTGTCGACAAGGGAAAGAAAGATGAAAAACCAACCCTATCCTCAGGGTAAAAATAGTATGCTCACGAAGTCGGGTGTGTTGGTTAGGTGCTTTGAAAGAGGGAGAATTACAGTGCTGTGGTGGTGGAAGGGAAGCGATGGAAGGAAGGGTGATACTCATATTCCACTGGCAAGTTTTTGTGGAAATGATGTGTAAATTCTTCCTGAAAGAATGGTGAGATTGAATGGCAGGCATTGGACCATCACTCATTCTCTGAAGACATGATAGTACATGCTTACCATGTATTGAGCATTGTGATGGAGCAGATACTTGTGTTCAGGGAACAGAGCTAAAGCAGAGATGTTGTAGGGAGCACAGGGTACACGGAGAAGATAAGGCCCTCAAATCTCCTTGTGACATTAGACATTAACTGTCTGCATGTCATGCTAGTCTACTCTTACAGGCTTTTTAGAAAAGCTGAGAGAGTTTCTGTCCAGCAGTTCACTCCCCAAATGGCTCCAGCAGCTGGGGCGGGGCCAGGCCAAAAGCCAGATGCCTAGAACTCAATCCAAGTCTCCAATGTGGATGGCAGGGACAAGTACCTGCTACCTCCCAGAGTACACATTAGCAGGAAGCTGGAATTGGAAATAGGGTTGGCACTTAGACCCAGGCACTCCCACATGGGCTGTGGGGGTCCCAAGCAGTGGCTGAACTGCTGTGTAACATTTTAAATGAGAACAGACAGTGAAGTTTTTGAGCAAAGAATTGATGGTATCAGAGATACTCTGTAGGTTATTTTGAAAGCAGGATAATTGTAAGTTGTTTTGATAGAGGATAGCCTCTGGATTGGAAAAAGCCTCGAGAAGTTAGGTTTCTAGGAAGCTGCCTTGAGATGAGGCCCAGAACCAGGATACTGAGTGAATGGAAAGAAGTAGTAGTAAACCGGAGCAGGGTCGGGCGATAAGCTTGGTGATCTGACTTAGGGCTCAGTACTGAGTAGACCTGGCTAATATCTAGGAGCATTGCTGTGTTGGTAGGGCCTGCTGAACACTGACTCACAAATTTCAAGACTGGTGAACTGAGAATGGGAATGTGATAAACAGGCACAAGTTTTAGGGTCGAGGTACTTTTGTTCGGCTTAGATACACATGCATCTTTAAAGCTCTGATGTGGCGTGCACATACTAGACTGCTCACTGGTGATTTTGTTTCACAGTGGCAACATCCTGAGTGCTGTAAATATAGTCTACAGGACTTCACTTCCGTGCTAAAATGAAAAAGACACCGTGAGCACAGAGTGAAAATTTACTTTTATGGTCTCATAGTATTGACTGTGCTTGTAAATTTGACTCCTTAATACAGAAGAATGCTTGCAATGCTCTTAACTAGAAGCATTTTTTACACAGCAGCAGAGTGTAGTGAGATGAGCGCTGAACTGAATGTCAGGAGACCTCACAGCCCACACAGTGGGTGGCCTTAGCAAATCACTTACCTCTGTTCTCCAATTCCTCCATCGACCAAATGGAACTTTACTCCTCCAGCATTAGACGATCATTGAGGATAAATGAGCTAAACATTTTAAAGTAAGAAAGTTTAAAGTAAGAAAACTTTACAGCATCACCGTTACTACTATATTACCTGTTTTTAAAGTCAATCAGTTACATACCTTCTTCCCTTCCAACTTTGGAATTCAGTTTCATGGGTAGGATTTCACGTTATGGTTAGAGTTCATCAGAGGAGCATTGCGCAACCCCGTGTATCAGTCCTGTACTGGAAGAGCAGGTGTTAGGGTTCGATTATGTGGCGGGTGCTGTGGCAGGTGTCTGCGGGATGCTGAGATGCAGGTACTCTGCTTTCCACCTAGCAGTGCATTTGGCGTCCAGAAGGAAAACAGATGCAGATGTTGGAAGCCCCACCACAGGGTACTTTAGAAAACTTGTAGTGTTTCCTCCAAGGAGTGTTAGGGAGACCAGTGCCGGGTGAGAGCCCTAGGACATGGAAATACTGATGACATTTGATAGGTTCCATTTTATTTTATTAAATATTTACTTATTTATTTGAAAGGCAGAGTATCAGAGAGAGAGAGCTTCTGTCTGCTGGCTCACTCCCCAAACAGAACAGGTGGGGCTGGGCCAGGACAAAGCCATTAACCAGGAACTCCATCTGGATTTGCCTCGTGGGTAGCAGGGGCCCAGGTACTTGGACCATCTTCTGCTGTCTTCCCGGACACATTCACAGGGAGCTGCATCAAAGCAGAACGTCCAGGCCTTGACCCGGCGCTCCAGGCTGAGCTGAGGGCATCGGAAGTGGTGGCTTACCCCCTCGGCCCCATATTGCCAGCCCTCAACAGGTTCAGTTTTGAAAAGGAGAGCACAGCTTCTGGGGGAGACTGAAGAAAGACCATCAAGGTGGCTACAGGGGAGGTGTGATTGCAGTCGGGAAGCAGCTCCAGGAAGGCTCGGATCCCATGGGGAGAGCAAGTGAGAGGACTAAAACTGGGCAGCGTGATACATCAGCAGCAGTTGGGCGACTGTGCTGCACAATTTGAACCACAGTTAAGTGCGTGACCTCTGCCTACTGGAAGTTCAGTCTTGCATTGTCAAGCTCTCTGCTGATGGTGTTCACTGAGCTGAACTTCCCTTGCAGAGAGGTGAGCGCAGTCCTGCTCTTCCTCCACCTTCACTCCCCCTTCAGCCTGCAGATGCTGTGTGCAGTAGAGAACTGCCAGCAGCCTCGGAGGCCGGGAGCAGTGCGCACTGTTCCCTGAGTTTATGTAAGTGGGCCTGTGTTTCAGAGGAGCGGCCTCCAGGTCGCCCAGCCCTGCAGTGCGCTCACTGCCCCCTCCATGCCATTGACACGACCAGAACAGGAATTTATTCCAGGGCTTTAGCAGGGGAAAAGGTATGAAATGCCAGTATTAAATTCAATAATTAAATTATTGAAACTCGTCATACAGGTTGGGGTTAAATTTATATCTGTATGGGCTTTGTAATAAATAAATGGGCCAACTTACATTTTGTTATTTTACTAAGGAGATAGTAGAGGCAAAAACTAGCAATTTAGGGAGAAAAATTAGTTGGCATAAGAAAATGATAATTTTCAAAATCACGGGGCCAGCATTATAGCTCAGTGGGTTTAGTCACCCCCTATGCCATCGTGTCCTATATGAGCACAGGTTCAAGTCTGGGCTGTTCCACGTCCAATCCAGTTCTCTGCTACTGTGCCTGGGAAAGCAACGGAAGATGGCCCAAGGATTTGGGCCCCTGTCAATTCCATGGGAGACTGGGATGAAGCTACTGGCTTCAGCCAGGCTCATCCCTGGCTGTTGGGGCCATTTAGAGTGAACTAGTGGGTGGAAGATCTCTGCCCCACCCTCCATCCCCCTGCCACTGGATCTCTGCCTTTCTTTCAAATAATTTTTTAGACAGGCAGAGTGGACAGTGAGAGAGACAGAGAGAAAGGTCTTCCTTTTGCCGTTGGTTCACCCTCCAATGGCCGCCGCGGCCGGTGTGCTGCGGCCGGCGCACTGCGCTGATCCGATGGCAGGATCCAGGTACTTCTCCTGGTCTCCCATGGGGTGCAGGGCCCAAGCACTTGGGCCATCCTCCACTGCACTCCCTGGCCACAGCAGAGAGCTGGCCTGGAAGAGGGGCAACCGGGACAGAATCCGGCGCCCCAACCGGGACTAGAACCCAGTGTGCCGGCGCCGCAAGGCGGAGGATTAGCCTAGTGAGCCGCGGCGCCGGCTCTACCTCACTGATTTTAAATGAGAAAGATTTAGGAAAAAAAATAAAAAAGACAAAACCATTCATAACTGGTTGAGTGTGATTTAAATGCCAAGTGAATTCGTGACCACCAAAGAGGAGTAAGGTGACAGGTAGTGTTAAAACCAAGTCAGCCAAGGTATGGATTGGTGCAAAGTTCCACTGCCTTGTGATGTGCATTCATGCAACTCCCTGCCTCTGTCATGTTGACATGGAGTAAACATAAGTGAATGATTAACAGTGATGCAGGAGTAGATGATGTGTTTGCTTAAGTAAATGTGTATTTTCATTTCATTTTCTAGTACCATAACAGCTTGGGGGAAAGACCATGAAAAAGATGCATTTGAACATATAGTAACACAGTTTTCCTCAGTGCCTGTATCTGTGGTCAGCGACAGCTATGACATCTATAATGCGTGTGAGAAAATATGGGGAGAAGACCTAAGACATTTAATAGTATCAAGAAGTACAGAGGCACCACTAATAATCAGACCTGATTCTGGAAATCCTCTTGACACTGTATTAAAGGTAAATTGTAATGTGTAACTTGATTTATTTCAGTGCCTTTTATTTTCCTTTATACACACTGCTTCAGAACCATCTGTACTGGTCTCCTCATTAGAGAATCACAGCCCAGAGAGAGTAGATTTGCCTAAGGTTGCACATTTACTAGCAGAATTCCAGGTTATTATAATAACAACATCAGAGTTGGGGTTCCTTATATACTATCAAAATGCCAGTTGGCATTGAATATTCTTTTCTGCTTCAAAATTAACAGCATTACCATTTTAATCCAATGCTTTGGTCACCAAGTTTCTTTGTGACTTACTGTAGCTTTGAAGTTTAGTACAATAGAAACATGTGCAGAGTGATGTGGAATCAGAATAATTCAAAAATACTTTCCAAGTAGTGGTTCTTTAGAGGTGCTGTTAATTCCTAATGTGGCACTGTTTGGTTTCCCTGCTTTGGAAAGCACTGTTCAGAGCAGGGCTGTTTGATGCCTGTCACTGGTAAAATATTGTATTAGATGTCTCTCGTAAGATGTGTGATTTAATCTCTACCCAAATCCCATGATACCAGTTAAAAACATTTTTAAGAATGTATGATGAGTATTGTTGTCTCTGTTCATCAAGAAGAAACAAAGGGTCCCACTGGTGACAATAGCCCGCTCACGGTCACACGACATGTACAGTGTGGAGTCCAGGATCCAGTGTAAGTCTCCTAGCCTCAGCCATCCCACTGGACAACAGTATGCTAGTGTGCAGGTGATAAATTACACCCCGAAAGAAAGGGCCCACACAATCAAGGGGTCCTTCTCTTAACTGATGACAGGCCAATGCGAAGGTCCGGAGATACTTGGTTTTTGCAAAACTTAATGGATTTCATGTGTTTACTATTATCTAATAAAAGTATATACTGCTTGTTGTAAAAGCAAACTGAGAAAAGAAAGTGGTTGTTGGGGTAGAGAGGTGTGTCTGGTAGGTCTTTTGTATTGTGACCAGGCTTTGGGAGACAGTTTAAGTCTGTAAGTATTTCAGCTGCTACAAAACTGAGTAGCCAGTCAATGAGAACACTTGGCACAGTCTGCAGCCTGGCTTTAATGAAGAGGAAAGGAGAACTTAAGAGAATGTGGATTATGTGTGCTGCACGTCCTGCTGTCTGACTAGCACAGTTTTGCTGCACTTTGTGATTCAAATGGACTTATATTTGAAATATCCCTGACACAATTAAACCAAAGGTTGTTGGACATAAGCAGAATAAATCTGAAGTCATAAGTTTTGTGAAATGATGCTTTGTATATTTCTCAATATATTTATTGGTTAAATATTCTAAAAGGATTTTTTGCATGGGTATGATTTTAAAGAGGTGAGGTGGAAAATTTGTTTTGAGCCACTTTATGGTATCAGTTGAGCTAATAGCATAGGATGCCTGTTTTCTCACATTGAAAAAAGATCGGGACTAAATTTCAGAGGGCTCACACATTAGGGTTATAAAAAGTTTAAAATAGTGTAATTGGTAGAGTCTCAGGATTGTCTAAATAAAAAGTTAATTTCTTAACTTTGGAAAGCTTGTTATACTTTCAGTTTTAGTTATTTGTGTGTGTTTTTCCATATAGGTTTTGGATATTTTAGGTAAGAAATTTCCTGTTGTTGAGAATTCGAAAGGCTACAAGTTGCTGCCACCGTATCTTAGAGTTATTCAAGGGGATGGAGTGGATATTAATACCTTACAAGAGGTAGGTGTCTGTCAGTGAAAGTTCCAATAAGACAATCCTTATACTTCAGTTCCTTTTTACTGATAACGCATTAATAATTTAAATGTGATTGTTTCTTCATTAGTGTTTATGATGGTATATGTCTCCTCTGTGCACTGCTTAGAATTTAGAAATAGTAGCTTGAAATAAGAATTACCAGCCAAATCACACTTTTTTTCCCAAGATTTATTTGAAAGAGAGAAAGAAAATCTTTCATCTACTTGTTCACTCCCCAAATGGCCACAATGGCCAAGCTGAGCTGATCCAAAGCCAGGAGCCAGGAGTTCTTCTGGGTCTCCCAAATGGGTGCCAGGGCCCAAGCATTTGGACCATCTTCCACTGCTTTCCCAGGCCGTAGCAGAGAGCTGGATCAGAAGTTAGAGCAGCTGGACTCAAACCAGCACCCATATGAGATGCCGCCACTGTAGCCAGTGGCTTTACCTGCTGCACCACAGTGCTGGCCCCCACACTTACTCTTCTACCTTCATTAGCCACCCAGGATGGTGAGACTACAGAAGTATCACTGTGAAACAAAGAATGTGAGTCAAGGACTGACACATCGAAAAGCCTTGATTCTGCTCACATGGATCTATATTTTAACAGGAGGGAGCTTTACAGACTCTTAACAGTGTGTAATTCACATGGTGTTCGTGGGTACCAAGACTTCAGTGATCCTAATTTTTACAGTCTTACAGATCCTAGTTAAAATGAGGCAAAAGTTTTAGGAGACGTATTTGGCTAACCTTCATACTAATGACAACATTCAATGATTAATTTAAAGGAGGTGATAGCCCATTCTATAATTTCTGAAAGAGCAAGAAAGGGAATTTGACAATTTTGCTTTGCATATATACTAAATTGGATGTCCCGATTTTGACAAAATGAGAAATCTGCTGTATTTCCAACAACTGCCTTGTCTCCTGGACTGTGAGCCATCCCAGGAGGTGTGCATTGTAGCCCTGCTATAGGTTTTTTTCTAAAGATTTATTGAAAGTTAGAGAGAGGAAGAGAGAGGTCTTCCATCCATTGGTTCACTCCCCAGATGGCTGCAACAGCTGAAGCTGCACCGATTAAAAGCCAGGACCCAGGAGCTTCTTCCGGGTCTCCCACATGGGTGCAGGGGCCTGAGGACTTGGGCCATCTTCCACTGTTTTCCCAGGCCCTAGCAGAGAGCTGGATGGGAAGAGGAACAGCCAGGACTAGAACCGGTGCCCATGTGGGATGCCAGCGCTTTAGGCCAGGGCTTCAACCAACTGTGCCACAGCGCCGACCCCATCCCTGCTGTAGGTTTTTTTGTTGGGCCAAAACCAGCAGTGTTCTCTTTCTATTTGTCTCAGAGCTCAGTCTGTGGTATCACTGAGGTTTCTCCATCAGTGACTTAGTGCATTAGTGACTTTAAAAATTACTTATTTGAAAGGCAGAGACAAAGATAAGTCCACTGGTTCACTCCCCAAATGCCTACAACATCTGGGCCAGACTGAAGCCAGGAGACTAGAACGCTCTCCAGGTCTCCCACATGGGAGGAGGGTTCCAAGTACTTGAGCCCTCAGCACCTGCTGCTTCCCAGGGTGAAAATGAGCAGGCACCTGGGAGTGGGAGTGGAGCTGGCACCTGAACCCAGCCACTGTAATAGAGGCGATTATCTTAAATATAGCTCAGCATTATTTTTCCTTTCCTCCCCTGTAGCTGTCCTACAATTCTTTCTGTAACTGTTTCTTCTACACTTCTAGGAAACTTCTCTGAGCTAAACTAATTTGATCCAGAGGTATAATAGAAGATGTTGGTCTTAAGTAAATATTAATACGTTTTTAATGACATACATGTATATAAAAATACTGCAGAAGCACTCATACATGACTCATGTAATATAACAAATGTAATTAAGTCCTGTTGGCATGATGCCTCTCATATCAGTTAAGTTGTGTATCTTAGGAATGACGTGAGAAAGCACTAGTCAAAAGAAGACTAGTATCTATGAGTGATGTTTGCCAACTCATATTTTAATACAAAGAGAACAGATTTCATGTAATTCATAGATGCAATTCTACCTGTACCCTGCTTCTCATAGTCTCCCTCCTTCCTGTCTTTAATTTTTGCGAAGACATGCATGATTTCAATATACTCTATAATCATAGGCTTAATTCACCACTAAATACAATATTCAACAGGTCAAAAAAGACCACAGTTCCACAGGAATATAAACAAGAGCTAGCAAACAATTGTATCACAAGGTTTCTATTTCATTCCTACAGATGTTTTGTATTCTATGTTAACTGCCAATATCAGAGAAAACATAAAATATTTGTGTTTTGGGGACTGGCTTATTTCACTAAGCATAATGGTTTCCAGTTGCATCCATTTTGTTGCAAAAGAGAGGACTTCATTCTTTTTTAGGCTGAGTAGCATTCTTTAATGTGTATGTATCACGTTTTCTTTATCCAGTCATCAGTTGATGGATGTCTGGGTTAATTCCGTGTCTTAGCTACTGTGAATTGAGCTGCAGTAAACATGGGGGTACAGATCACTCTTTCATATGCTGACTTCAAATCATTTGGGTAAATTCCCAGGAGTGGAATGGCTGGGTCTTGTGGTAGGTCTATATTCAGATTTCTGAGGAATCTCCGTTGTGTCTTCCATAATGGTTGTACTAGTTTACAGTCCTACCAGCAATATATTATGGTATCATTTCCCCACATCCTCGCTAGTGTTTTGATTTTTGGATGATAGCCATTCTTACTGGGGTGAGGTAAAACCTCAGTGTGGTTTTGATTTGTGTTTCCCTGTTGGCTAATGATTCTGATCATTTCATGTGTCTGTTGGCCATTTGAATTTCCTCCTCTGAAACATGCCTGCCCCATCCATGGATAGAGCTAGGCATACCCAAAGCCGGCTGCCTGTTCGTGCTCTACTTGGCAGTTTGAGTTCAGGTGCCTGTGCTAGAGGGAGGGCCTACATGGTGCCTCGCCCCTGCCAGCCCTCCATGCCAGACTTAAAGTCACAGTCGACTGTAGGTTATCCCTCCAGTTAAATCCCCTGGTCACGCACATGCAAGCCACAGCAATCTATTCGCCTTTTTAAGGTGGCACTTCGTCCTTGTGGGGGATGGGAAGAAAGCAATGTGCCCTCCCTTCCCAGGGTTAGGTGGGCACCTGCAGGCCAGCCTCAGTCAGTGTGGTGCACAGCATTCCCCCTCAGTGACTCACGTCACTCCTCCTCCAGCCCCTGCTGTGGGGCCCCCCACCTGTTTTTACTGTCCTCACTGCTCCGTGGTATCTTTTCTTTTTGTAGAATTTCCACTGCAGACTCCTCTCCAACTCTCCCCCTGGGAATGCAGTTACTCGGCTTTTCTTTTGTTACTGTCCTGTGGTCAAAACATATCAGCACATCTCTTCCCTATTTAGCCATTTTGGATCTCTACCTCCAGGTTATATCTAACCAGATTTCCTTCTGAATTGTTTGTTAATATTTTGAAGAGTAGTTTTTCCCTAGTTCTGCAATTTCCTGCTAACAGAAAAATTCAAATTGGGTTCAGGTACAAAAAAAGACTTAAGACTGGGTTTATGAACAGCCTAAAGGAATCACTTAGAATTGTGTGGGTTTCCATCTTAGTCTTGCAGAATTGGTCGGGATTTAAAAAGGTTGGTGTGGCTGGTGTGGCTGGTGCGGTGGTGTGGTGGGTAAAGCCACCGCATGTGATGCCAACACCCACATGGTTCTAGTCCCGGCTCCTCCACTTCCAATCCAGCTCCCTGTTCATGCACCTGGGAAAGCAGTGGGAGATAGCCCATGTGCTTGGGTCCCTGCACCCAGGGGGGAGACTCAGAGGAAACTTGGCTCCTGGCTTCAGCCTGGCAGATGGAAGAGCTTGATCTCCCTCTCTCTAACTCTGCCTTTCAAATAAATAAATCTTTTAAAAGAAAGGGGTCGGTGCTGTGGCGTAGTGGGTAAAGGTGCCACCTGCAGTGCTGGCATCCCATATGGATGCCAGTTCAAATCCCAGCTGCTCCACTTCCAATCCAGCTCTCTGCTATGGCCTGGGAAAGCAGAAGATGGCCCAAGTCCTTGGGCCCCTGCACCCATGTGGGAAGACCCAGAGGAAGCTCCTGGCTTTGGATCAGCACAGCTCTGGCTGTTGCAGCCCTCTGGGGAGTCAATCAGTGGATGGAAGACCTCTCTCTCTGACTCTCCTTCTCTGTATAATTGACTTTCAAGTAAACAAAAAATCTTTCAAAAAAAAAAAAAGTTGGATTTTTGTTTAAAGTGCTTAGAGTTTGACTTTTTTTCCCTCAATTTCAAGACTGCAAAGAAAAGTCAATTTAAGGCTAAGGATACTTGGGAAGAATATGCTGTATTTCTGTTAGTAGTCCACCTAAGTCTCTTAAACTTATGATACTCTAATCACGTCTGAAAATTCTTTCCAAATAAAACAGCCCTTCAAGTTACTTCCTTTTGGTTATAGAAATTAAAGTAATGGTTACTATATCTCACTTGCCATTTTTGATCATAAAAGTGACTATGTTAAGAATGCAGATGCTAGGTAAATAAAGCCCTACTTGAAAGAAATACAGATAAGATACAAATGTTTAATACCAAGTACAAGGTCCTTGACAGAACTGTATGTTCATACAGGTCTGCAACTGGCCTCTAGTTTATCATTCTCCCAGAAACGACCCTGTCATAAATCTGGAGAAACTGCCCATAATTGTGGAGCACCCGAGTAAGGTCACCGCCAGGATCTCAGCTGTGATGTGAGAGTATGTTCTACTACTCTCTTGCCACCAATACCCCTTGACCATTATACGCGTTGTGTCGTAGGATACCATGACGTGTCATTACATGATTTGTTGGTGATGACAGGCATCCCTGCAGTCTAGGAACTGGGGACTAAAGCGTCAGTCTCATTTCTTTTGCTGTTGGCATCTAGACAATCTGGTGATGAAATACGGGGTGGATCTTTAAAAGAGAATGGAATCTAATTGTCCAAGCCTTCTTCTTGACATGCAAAATGACTCTAGGATGCTTTATTCATTAATGTTGCCCTTTAAAAATTACCCTCATCCTCTGCCAGATTACTTAAGGTTTTTGTTTATCTTCCAGATTGTAGAAGGCATGAAACAAAAAAAGTGGAGTATTGAAAATATTGCCTTCGGCTCTGGTGGAGCTTTGCTACAGAAGTTGACAAGAGACCTCTTGAATTGTTCCTTCAAGTGTAGTTACGTTGTAACCAACGGTCTCGGGGTGCGTTCTCCAACTCTTTGCCCCTTGGAGTTAGTACCTCCTCTGTGTGTGTAGATGGAGGACAGGTAGCCAGAGTCAGGATAGTGTGATTCAGGACTGTTGATGTATTGTCAAGGTGCTGTTGAACTTGACTCACAAACAAGGAAAGAAAAACGCTCGGAGTGGTAACGTGGCTGAAGAGAAGCAACTCAGGAAAAGGAGGAACTATGAGTTGACAGGCGATGTCAGAGAAGTCATGCAGGTTGGCCCTTTCACACTGGGTCAGGACATCCTTTTGGGTCAAAAAATGGACTATATTTGGGTGGGCATGTCACCTAAACTGGCTGTCATACATTAAAGATAAGCAAGTATGTAGTCACTGTCCAAACAGTGGTTTTAGGAAGGTGGACTGTGCGGTTCAGATCCCAATACCCCAGTCATGCTCCAGGAGCCATAGAACAATTAGGACGCTTAATAGCAGTTCCACCCTTCCATAGCCCCTGATGGGATTCTAGGGAGCAGAGGAGAGGGAGGGTGAAGCTAAGCACACAGGAGCTGGCTTCCTGCCCCCCACGCTCCTGCCTTTATTGGCAGAGTTGTGAGATTACTCATCCCACTGCCATTACTGGTCCTGTCTGCTGGGTTTGCCTCCTTTTGTTCTGAACCTGAAACACTCCGCTGTCTTCAGGCTCAGTCTTTGGCTTCTGATAGTAGCAAGGTAACAGTAGCAAGTAACGAAGGGAAAGATCATGAAATAGGAAACTTGGCCTTAGTAAGACCCTGCCTCCCTCTCCAGAGATTGTGTCTATGCAATATATAAATGTGTGTGTTGGTTTATTTGTTTCTGTGGTGTGTGTATGCTATCTTTAATGTCCGGTTGAAGACATAGTTGTAATATAAAAAGGTCACATTTGACTCTGCAGTGACTTCCTACAAATGGAATATTACCTTTTCTGATTACTCAGGAATAGCTATCAGGATTCCTTTTTCTCAGAACAAATGGCTGTCCTTCAAAACAGCCTAAAAGCTGTATTTTTGTTTGTAGTTCTTTTTCTAAAAGCCAGACATGGATTGCTTTAGTTTTACCCACAAAGGGTCGTAGAACATGAATTGTATATGTACTTTTTTTCAAGTAAGAGTTTAGTGGACATGTAATTAGTCTCTCTCAATTTGGATTTCAGATTAATGTCTTCAAGGACCCGGTCGCTGATCCCAACAAAAGGTCCAAAAAGGGCCGCTTATCTTTGCATAGGACACCAGCGGGGAATTTTGTTACACTGGAAGAAGGAAAGGGAGACCTTGAAGAATACGGTCATGTATGTATCTGTGATTTTTTTTTTTAATTTAAACAACAACAACAACAAAAAAAAACAGTAATAAGTTGGTGTTCCAAATTATAAGAAGGAAGTTTTTGTGTTGTATTTTTACAATTGTTTACTGTCAGGTACACAACTGCTGGTGCAGTGGGTAAATCCACCACCTGCAACACCAGCATCCCATACAGGCACTGGTTCGGGTCCCAGCTGCTGTACTTACGAACCAGCTCCCTGCTAATGCACCCAGGAGAGACCTGGATGGAATTCTGGGCTCTTGGCTTTAGCCTGGCTCAGCCCCAGCCATTGCAGTCATTTGTAGAGTGAACTAGCAGATGGAAAATCCGTAATTCTGACTTTCAAGTAAATAAATACATGATAAACTCTTAGGAAAAAAATAAGTGGACAGTTGCTGACCTGGCCTACTCAGAGAAGATGAAAGACAGAGGTTGCCGGGTTAAAGGTACAAAGCTTGCGTATATGTTGTGTGAAATAGTTTATAGCAGTTTTCACACTGGCCAGCATGGCAGTGATTGGGGGTCTTCAACAAGTTCATTTCAGAAATCATTCACTGACAAGATTAAGATGAAGAGGCATAATCAAGAGGACTTTTTAAAGGTACTCTTTAGATTTCCAATCAGTAGTTGTGGTTTGTTTTTTTTTTTTGTTGTGTTTTTGGTTTTTTTAGATTTTATTTATTTGAAAGGCAGAGTTAGAGAAGTAGACAGAGAGGTCTTCCATCTGCTGATTCACTCCCCAGATGGCTGCAATGGCCGGAGCTGCGCCGATCCGAAGCCAGGAGCCTCCTTCGGGTCTCCCTTGGGGGTGCAGGGCCCAAGGACCTGGGCCATCATCCACTGCTTTCCCAGGCCACAGCAGAGAGCTGGACTGGAAGAGGAGCAGCCGGAAATAGAACCGGCGCCCCTATGGGATGCCAGCGCTTCAGGCCAGGCCGTTAACCCACTGCACCACAGTGCTGGCCCCTTCAATCAGTATTTGTACATAGAACTGGTGATTGCGATAGCAGTGACTATCTAAATTCTAACATGTTTTTGAAGAGAATTCAAAGATGTGATGTAGAGAAAGGCATAGACAGATCTTCCATCCATTCATTCAGTCCTCAAATGGCCATGCCAGGCATGAGCCAGACCAAAGCCAGGAACTCCATCTGGGTCTGCCACCTGGGTGCAGGGTCCAAACTATTTGGACTATCTGCTGCTGCTGCTCTCCCAGGCACATTAGGGAAGCAGAAGAGCTGGGACTTGAACCAGTGCTCCAGCTGGGGTCCAGCATCAACAGGCAGCCACAGCTCACCCTGCTGCACCACAACAGCAGTCCCTGTTTTTGTAAAAAATCTTACCAGGATCCAGTTCAGATGCTTTTCTTGAGTCTCTTCATTCACAGCAATTGTACGAACTGAAAAAAAAAAAAAAACTGTTAGTGTAAGATATAAAAACAGGGTAGTTGATTCAGGTTCTAACAGTGAATCTTTGATTTAATGAAGTCTTGTGATTCAACTCAGCCAAACTGGGAGTTTGCAGTATGCTCAAGTAGACCATGTGATCAGCTGGTTCTAGCATACCAAAGCACATTTATGTTCCTGAACTCAGATTATCAAGTTTAAGGTTTTTAAGCCACTAGATTGAAACAAACTCAGTTTTAGAGGGGAACTATTTATATCCTCAGAAAACTTTATACCTGTTATTTTGTATTTTGATTCTTTGTTCTGTATCATTTATTGTTCATATTACTTTTGTATTTTAAGATTTTTGAGCCACAACTCATCACATAACTTATTTGGGGGGGATGTGTGTGCGTGTATAAGTTTATCAGACTCACTTTCTATATACCACTGGGCACATTCACAGCTACTAGGATTTTCCAAAATTACTTTATCCCAGATGAACCATAAAGTCATTGAGACCGAGGGCTGAAGTAAAGCCTAAATTATTTTTAAAAGAAATGGATTTTAAGAGTATGTGAATGAAAAAAAAAAAAAAGTATGTGAATGATATACTAGAACATTTGGGATAAAAGTTTGTAATCACCTAGGCATTTTGATTAATATATATGTGTGTGTATATATATATCTGTATATAGGGACCAGCATTCTGATAGGTGGTATTTAGATTTATAAAAGAATTTGTACAAGTAGAGCAATGTAATTTGAGCAACATAATGACAAAAATATCCATGTCATACCCCTTAGTCATTGGACTACGTGATGGAGAATAAGATTACTGCTATGGAATTTTTCGCAGATAACTGAGACAAGAGTGGGTTTACCAGAACCCAAGGGAGTTTCATCCTAATTCTTTTCATTATTAAGTTTGCATGGACTTCTGGAGTGTACAGAGTCTAACTCGGTCACCATGCATTAGTCAAGAAATCAACACCTGTTTGTTTTTTCGTGACTGGCACTTTCATTAAACATCTAGTGACAGGTTTCGTCAGTGTTAAATCTGTTATCAGGAGTAAGGGAAGGTTCGGCCAGCTTTGCTTCCTATGCTGTCAGTAATGATTTTCCTTGCCAGTTGTATTTTGGCTGGGCAACCAGGCATCTTTTTGCTTAGACAAGACACTGGTCAGTTTGGTGTGCAGAAAACTGGCTTAAGAATGGCATAGTGTAGTAATCTGATGATATATTAACCTGTAATAATACTGTTAATACTGATGCATATTAGCAGCCTATCAGGAATGAGCGCATTCCCTTTCATCAGAGTTGAAGCTCAGTGACTTGCCCTTTTAGGTAGGACCTTGCTCTCTGCTGCACCAGCGTTCTGAGCACTCTCAGCTTCTCTGTCCCACTTGACTTAGGTAAACTCATGCGAGCATGACTGGAGTACTTTGCCTGATGGTCTCTTTAATATGTTCATTACCTTTACATTTCTTCAGGATCTTCTCCATACTGTCTTCAAGAATGGGAAGGTGACAAAAAGCTATTCCTTTGATGAAGTAAGGAAAAACGCACGGCTGAATATTGAACTGGAAGCAGATCCTCATTAGGCTCTGTCTTAGGATGGGCATGTGTGGCTGCGTGTGTATGCGTGCGCCTGCACGCATGCGTACACCTGTGTGTATGTAGTACATGATGTTTATTGTACAGATGCCTGAGGTTTCTTTGTGTTTTATGATACATTACAGCCAAATTATTTGTTGGTTTATGGACACACTGCCCTTTTTGGTTTTTTGGTTTTGTTTTTTTTTCCAGTGTTTAGGTGATCTCAAGTTAGGAAACACACATAACCATGTAAAAAAGATTAATGCTAAAGCAAGCTTTTTAGGGCCCTTTGCCAATAGATAGTAATTCAATCTGGTATTGATCTTTTCACAAATAACAGAACCGAGAAACTTTTATATATAACTGAAGATCACATAAAACAGATTTGCATAAAATTATCATGATTGCTTTATGTTTATATTTAACTTGTATTTTTGTACAAACAAGATTGTGTAAGATATATTTAAAGTTTCAGTGATTTAACAGTCTTTCCAACTTTTCATGATTTTTATGAGCACAGACTTTCAAGAAAATACTTGAAAATAAATTACATTGCCTTTTGTCCATTAATCAGCAAATAAAACATGGCCTTAACAAAGTCGTTTGTGTTATTGTACAATTTGAAAATTATGTCAGGACATACCCTTTAGAATCACCATCTTCACTGCCCCTTGTAGAATATGTACTAATCATTCTACACTGAAGAAAATAATGGTTCTTACTGGAATGTCAAGGCACTGTACAGTTATTATATACTTGGGTCATTGTATTGTACCAGTGAAATGCCAAATTTGAAAGGCCTGTACTGCAATTTTATATGTCACATTGCCTGTGGCTCTATTATGCACCTCAAGATTTTAAGGAGATGTTTTTAGAGAGAATTTCTGCTTCCACTATAGAATATATACAAAATGTAAAATATTGACAAAAGTGGAAGTAGTGTATTTTAAAGTAATTACACTTCTGAATTTATTTTTCATATTGTATAGTTGTTATGACTTAAATGAATTACTGGAGTGGGTAGTGAGTATACTTATTTTAAATGTTTTGATTGTTATATTTTTAAGTTTTTAAAAAATTAAATTGGATATTAAATTGTATGGACATCCTTTATTAATTTTAAATCAGATCCCTTAATAAGTAACACTCAAGCAAGTTTTTTAAAGAAGGTAGACTGTCTACAGTTAGTACAATGGTGAGTTCTAATGGAAAATCAGGTTGAGCTACTGCAGTGTTCAGTGCCAGAAAGTTCTAGCGTGACTGAGTGCCAGACTCTGAGTCATCACGTCTGACTGGAGGGAGACCTGTTTTTTCCAAATGGTCCTTTTCTATAGTTAAGTCTGTGTGCTGAGGTAGGAGTAGGAGTGGGCCAGGTGGGGCCACCGGCCAGGTTTGGCAGAGAGGAAGTGGTTGCAGTGGACACCAAGTGGTCTATAAAACCTGGCCCCCTTGAACAAAGTCACACAAAAGTTCACAATCCCTCTAAGACAAAGAATGTGCCTTGCATTTTAAGAGAAATGTTGATTTACAGGAAGGGTCTCAGTCATTAATACTAAGTCACTCTCTTTGGTCCTTTTCTTTCTCATTTAAGAGTCTGACACCAGAAGACTGATGTAGAAAAACCTTCACAACATGACATTAAATGTGAAATTTTTAAAACTGAAAAGCCATAAGTCATCTGTCTTAAAACAATTACACGAGAATCTGTCAACATTAGAATCGAGTTACAGAAGGCATTTCCTAAGTGGTGTTAGGAGGAAGATAGGTTTTTGCAGATGATTCTATAAAGAGCTACTTAGAACAGTAAGCATCATTTACCTTTTTTCTTGTTTAAATTTTATTTGTATCACGTACTTTAGTAGAGAGTCTCCATCCTGTAATCCCTAATAGGAACCACTTTAAATACATTTTTAAAATTAGGTTAAAGATTAGAAGTATTAACAAGAACATACCTTTCTTCATGCAGTGTGCTAAGGGGCTTATAAACAAGAGAAACACTATTGCCAGTAACAAGCTGCCTGACAACCACCCATAATTTCGTCTCTGCTTAAACACTGGAGTTAATACCACAGACAGTATTCTTTGTGTTCTGTGTCACCAGCTTCAAGGTATCTAGAGGAGTTTGATCTGGAAACTTGGAGCGAATGCTAAAAGCTGTACAATGGTACATGACCATAGATTAGGACTCGGAACCAGGTAGTCCTATGTCGGTCACTAAGCACTTAGTGTTTGACCGTCCCTATGCTAGGCATCAGGTGGCTACAGGAATGTCAGCAACTCTGCTGTGTTGCCCCAAAATTAGCCTGACTCTTCCAGACTAAAACAAGTGGCGTGTGGGTTTAAAACACTAGATTTGTAGTTCATAGTAATTCCTCCTCTACCCTCTTTCATAGGATTTTAAATAGGAAGTAGGTGTTCTGTGTAAAGACTCTTAATTTATTTGTATCCTATACTTATGCGTAAAATGGTTTTTACAATTATCCCTTATTTCCTTTCTTGAAATAAGTTATAAAATTTTTTATAATGAAATTCATCTTGAAAAAATTAGAGAAAAATGGCAAGGTATTTATTGTTTTGTTTGCCATGACAATTTAGAACTCATAACCAAATATTTCGTAGTTTCACATTCCTTTTTAACCCACCTAGTGGAGAATGTCAGCTTTTCTCCCAAGTTGTATGTCAAATTCATTCTAGTATGTACTCAACATCCAAGGTAAACATGTAATAAACATGGAAATAAAGTTTTAGCTCTATTAGTCAAATGCTAAATGTGACTTTGTGCTTCAAGTAATGCCATTTCTGCACTACCCCGTGTACTGACTCCCCCAGTTCCAGGGGCTGGAGCTGAGAGGAGGGAGTGTGGAGGACCACTCCTGCTTTCTGCATCTGCAGCTCCGAGGAGGGCGATGCCGCTGCCGAGAACCCTGGAGGGGTGCGAGTGGGAGGAGAGCCCAGCAGCTCCTGCACCCAGGTCTAAGGTTTCCCTCCTGGATATTCAACCGCATCTGCTAAGGAGGTAGACGGCAACGTGTGTGTCAAAGTGTGACCTGGGTGCGCAGGTGCTCGTGAGAGTCACACCAGATATTTTTCAAAGGAGAATGTGGAACCTAGGAATGTAGCAAACCTAGGCCCTAGGGCCAGTGCCAGCCACTGTTTTCAAAAATGATTTCACTGGGACACAGCCACACCCATCCGTTTCATCACCGCCACTGGCTGCGGTCCTGCTGCAGAGGCAGAGTGGCGGAGTCACAGCGGAAGAGCGTGGCCTGCGGTGCCGAGAACAGACTGGCCCTTTTCAGAAAACAGGGCGAACTCTGCCAGTCAAATCCTGAAGGTCTGATGGCACAGACCAGAGGGTAGCTGAAGAGTGAAAGGAAAACCAGGAGGAGCAAAGCCCAGAAGCCAAGGAAGCCCTTTGAGCTCAGGGGCCGAGTGCTGCTGAGAGCGCCCGCCGAGGGAGGACTTAGAGCAGCTGCTGACGGCAGCCACCGGGCAGGCAGGCCCTGGTGCCTCGGAGCCCTGCCCAGGCCGAGACTGCTGCACAGCCCTTCCGCTGCGGGGAGGGACGAGGAGGGAGTGAGGCAGTAGCATGCCCGGCTTTCTCTCCGAAAGGGGCAAAGCTGAAGAGCACACAGGTGGTCCGTCATGGCTGAGGGTTCTAGAGAAGGCGGAGAACAGGATCCAGAGCACGTGTGGAGGATTGGCCTGGCGGGAGAGGCGGGCTCCTGCTGGAGAGGAGAGGGTGCCGAGGCTCGGCTTTGCTCTGAGCTCAGGCTCAAGCCTGCTTGAAGGTCATTTACGTTCTTCCCAGAGAAAAGGAGCAGCGTTCTTGGGCAACAGAATTCCATTCAAACCGTTCTTGCTGGCCTGCTTTGCTTGGTTTTCAATTCTATAGTTTTCTACCAAGGTTTTGGTTTTTGTTTTGGTTTGGTTTGGTTTTTTGACATAAAATGGCACCAATATTGTGTCCTTTTTACCCGACTGGATCGGCGGACGTGCTTACGCATGCTGTGGTGCCTTGATGACAAGGTCAGTTCCGGTTAGGTCATGTTGAGGAGCTGGAGGGAGTTACCAGATCTCAGCCTGGGGGAAAAACTCATCTCCAGCTTCTCGCTTTCCGATCCTCAACCAACGAACATGATCCTGATTGTTACAGCCTTAAAACTTAAAAAAAAAAAACACACCCGCTCTATAGCGCCAGCTCCAGTCTGCCTTCTCCCGGTCACATCAGACTCTGTTCACTGCTTCACCTCTTCCACCTCTTGTGTATTCACCTCCTACCCTGTTCTCACCTCTCACTCAGCACCGACCCAACTGCCAAGTGAGTACATTTAGGTCTTATCCGAGGCCTCTCCTGCACTTGCCACCACTGATGCTCACTCCTTGGAACTGCCTCCTTGTCCTCCATAATGTGCTTGGGTCTTAAACCTCTGACTGTGCTTGCCCACGCTGTCGTCCCCATGGTTCCTTGGCCAGCAGCAGCCATTCCTGAGGTGTCAGCGAGGAGTCCTCTGCTAAAACCACCATGCATTTTTATCTGCAGCCCAGAACTCTCGAGTCTGCTGTGACATTCCCACTGCGGTGCCTGTCCAGGGCAGCAAGTTCAAACAGCACATCCTACCCAGCTGTGCCTCTCTCCTGATCGGCCGGCCGTCCAGGAGAGATTACCTTTTATGAGCCGCACAGTCCTACTGATTGACCTCCTAACATTATGATCTAGGTTCTCCAACTCCTCTTGCAGGCCCCCCAGTCTGTTCCTGAAAGACTACAGAAATTATCTAACAAGTGAACAAGTGTTACTTTCATTCCAGGTACCAGAGTACTTTAGCAGAATCTAATAGCATCCGTCCCACGCTTAACACACCTGTGTTTTCTTCAGTATACTAGCTGATGCTGAGAATCCAGCCACCTGCACAGAGCTCTCCCTGACCTGCCCACGGCACATGGGTGCCTCAGGCCTCACCCTGCATTTTCTGTGCCAGGACCACAGCCTTACTGTGCCCTGCGCATGCACACGCGTGCATGCGTACGCGCACACACACACACACACACACTTTTTCCCTACTTCTCTGCCTTTACAGATTTTGACCAGGGATGCTGCCTTTAAGTGATACTTATTGTAGGTGTTAATGCCCCATTTTGGCTGACAGCACCACCAGGAAGCCTTCAACTCTCATCCACCCTCCTGTTGGCCTCTGTAGGTATTGAGTGTATTTCCAAACTAGCACTCAGAATTCAAGGGCTGTGTCTTGTGAGACACACTCATCTCTATCTCCCATCTGCACATAGTAGACACTCAAATGTCTGTTAAGTAAATTAATATTACTAAGACAAAGTGCTTTAATAACCTCTTTAATACTAATACCCTGAACAGTTTCCTAAGTGGTTTTTTTTTTCACTGTCTTTAAAATTCTTAAGGTCATGAAGTAGCTGAGGTATTTGTCAAAATATAGATTAGAAAGCTATCGCACTGGGGCTTGCGCTGTGGCGTAGCGGATAAAGCTGCCACCACATATGGGCACCAGTTCAAGTCCCAGCTGCTCTACTTCTCTGCTATGGCCTGGGAGAGCAGTGGAAGATGGCCCAAGTCCTTGGGCCCCTGTACCCACGTGGGAGACCCAGAAGACACTTCTGGCTTCTGGCTTCAGATTGGCGCAGCTCCGGCCATTGCAGCCATCTGGGAAGTGAACCAGTGGATGGAAGATTTCTCTCTCCTTCTCTAACTGCCTTTCACATAAACAAAATCTGAGGGGAAAAAAAAGCTATTGCATCAAGAAAATTCAGATTATTTCCCTAAGGTTTCCTTGTAAGGAGGTCAATAGTTTATAAGATTTTTTTTTTTTAATTTATTTGAAAGGGTCACAGGGCCTGGGGTGGGTGTGGGGGGTGATGGGGTGGGTAAGAGCTATCTTCCATCCACTGGTTAACCCCTCAAATGGCCATAAGGGCTGGGCTTAGAACTCTATCCAGGTTTTTCAAGTATGTGGCAGAAACCCAAGCTGTTGGGCCATCCTCTGCTGCCTTCCCAAGCACATTAACAGGGAGTTGGGTTGCAAGCAGAGCAGCTAGGACTCCAAGCAGCACTCACGTGGGACGCTGGAGTTCCAGGCAGCTTAACCTGCTGCACCACGATGCCAGTCACATTTCTCTTGGTTCTGTTTGATGACAGCTGTGGACCTCTTCCCAGTTTGCACGGAATCCAAGGGGGCTCTTGCACAGACTCACGCTAAGAGCTGTGCCTTCAGGTAATGGCAGAGGAGAGATGAGAATCCCAGGCTCCTCCTGGCAGCTGTCCTCGCTTGTTAGACTTCTGTTGATGTTTTTAGGGATTCTCAGATTTTAAACCCCATAGATTAGTTTTAGTTCAAGGTAAAGTAAATAAATATAATGTACTTCAAGTCTCAGGCTGGTGCAGATTCTAAAATCAGTGGCTATTTTAAAAGCCTGCTTTGTAGGTGAAACAAACTTGGGAAGTGAAACTACATGATGTGGGAAGTAAGAAATCCTAGAGTTTTCAGTTTAAACCAGTAGCACCAAACTGTAAAGGGGAAAAAAAAAAAGAAAAAGCTTTTCCTGTGATTTTAGAACCACAAGACTGCTTCCAGAAGTGTCAGCTAGCTAGGTGTTTCTGACACCCCACTGCTGAAAGCGAAAACTGGTGGGTGACAGGACAGTAAGAAATGACTAGGTCAATGTCCAAGTGCAGATGGGAGCCTGGAGACAGCCAAGCACTGAAGGTATTCACTGCACCTGGGGGCTGTGAGCCTCAGTCGTAGGGCCTAGCGGGACATGACTACAGAAAGAACCCCCTCCATAAAGCTGGCCCCGTGTCACCAAAGGGCTTCCCCTTCAGGATGAGGGTGAGCCAATAGCAAGTCAAGGCCCACACCCTCAGGAACTGCAGGAAAAGTTGCTTTCGCTCCTGGATGGTCAAGTTCAGAGAAATCCAAGAGGTTGTCACTGTAGGCTGGCCTTTCCCTATTGCAAAATCCTCCAGCCATAAACTTAGAGAACTCTGCCAGCCTAGTATAATAAGCTAAGTGCCTGACAGGGTAAATGAAAATCCTCTTTGAAAGGACACTTTCATCATAAGCTTCAAAGAATTCCCAAAACAATCCTCTAAGGAATGTGAATAGCTCACAAAATCATCTGACAAAGAACAAGACACCATGAGTGAGAACAAAGAAGATTCACAAAAGGTTCAGATACTGAAGTCATGGGACAGACTACAAAATAACTGCTCAGAATATTTTTCAGAAATAAAATACACAGTTGAAAATATCTCCAAGGAGCAGGAAAATTTCTAAATGACCTAACATTTCAAAAAGAATACAACTTGTGGATATAAATAAGTGAAAACAGATTGGACAGCTATAGAGAGAACAAGGGATTTCGAAGACGGGTCAGAAACCATTATTTGGAATGTAGCACAAAGCAAGTGGGGAAGAAAAAGTGGGGACAGGCATTTGGTGTAGCAGCCGTGTCACCACTTGAGATGCCCACATGGCATATCCGAATGCCTAGGTCAAGTCCCAGCTCCACATCCTATTCAACTTCCTGCTAACATACAAGCACAAGGCAGCAGATGGCAGCTCAATTACTTGAGTCCCTGATGACTACATGAGACCAGATTGAGGTCCAAACTCCTGGCTTCAGCCCAACTCTGGTTGTTTTGCGCATTTGGGGAGTGAACTAGTGGATGGAAGATGTGTATCTGTCTCTTCAAGTTTTGTTTTGTTTTTTTGATGGAAGTTAAGTGGCCAGTGTTG